GGATCACCGTTGATGGCGCTGCTCATTGAAGTCTTCACGTGGAGAGGTGCACTTCTTATCGTGGCAGGTCTAGTCGCGAACCTGAGCGTCACCGCAGCAGTATACCGACCCTTGACCTGGTGGTCAAAAAGGAAAAAAGATACGAAAGGAAGAAATGCTCCACGTCCACTGACGAATGACTACCTCGAAGATGAAGATGCAGTTGATGGGGAAATTGAGATCATACTTAATCTTCCGGCTGACAGTTCCATGAATTCTTTTGAGCATGGGGAGACAGTAGAACTACAACCGCTCGTGTCAGTGGTTGATCCTGCTCACACTGGAGATCCATTGCAGGTAGTCCGCAATGGTCCTGACGACACCGTAATCTACCCTGATGTACAATCTGAGAATGCAATTCACAAGATGGACAGGAAGAAATATATACAGCCTCGCGAATCGATTGAAAAATTCCATACTGAGACATCACTGCAGCATGATATTAACACAAAGAGAAAGTCCTGCCAATACTGTGTTGTAAAATTTCGTCAGTTTATTAATAATTTTCTCGATTTGTTCGGTTTCAACCTTTTGTGGAAAAATTCGAACGTTCTTCTCCTCTGCCTCATAGCAACATTTCAAGGAGGTGGATACTACCCTTCGTATGTCTACCTGCCCAGTTACGTCGTATCATCAGGCGTGAGCGAGCTGAGGGCGTCCTTCATATTCACTATCATGGGACTTTGTAGCCTCGTGGGTCGTCTCACTCACGGATTCCTTCTCGATTTCAAACTCATCACACCGACCAAGCTCTACGGGTTGACTTCAGTACTCGCAGGCTGTAGCCTTTACATCATTGTTACATTTGGAACATATCCAGCCTTTGTTGTCTATGCCATCATTTTCGGACTGTCGACGGGAGCCCAAATTCCATTGTGTCCGGTCATGACTAAAATGTATACAGCGCCCTCAGAACTGGCCAGCGCTTTCGGCTTGCAGAGTTTCTTCACGGGGATTTCACAGCTCTTGGTAACGTATTTACTAGGTATGTCACTACAGTCACTTTAACATGGATTTATTTTGTTTCAGTTTATGGCAGGACTAAAATTCATTGATTTCTAGTAGCCACGCTGCATCATGTTAACCTTAAATAAAAAATAGCTGATTAAGTAGAAGAGGAAGAAAAATTCCATTGTAAGGTGGCAAAGAGGACGAAGAAAAGTATTTTTATTTTTGTTTTCTTCTTCAGCATTCTAATTAATCGTAGCAATATCGTAATTATTATAGTGGCATAATCTTTTGCCAATTTTAAAACTTTAAGGCAGAAGAGAAATTGAAGTTAATATATTAGCTTCTCATCATTACAAGTCATTGGAGTCCTTCAGAACGAATATTGAACTTCGGTGATATGTCTCCCTCATTTGATTGATTTAAAGATGAAGTTGAGTTCTGGTCATGCGATTGCATTGTGAAAGAAACGGTGTGGAATCGACCAGAAAAGGTTGATCATCTAGCATATACGAATTTGTGTGTATTGCAAGGTTCTGGAATCATCACAATGATAAGAAATTTGGCCAAGTCTTGGTAAAGTTACAAACACTGTACACAGAAAGATGTATATGGGACTACACGTACACGTGACGTAAAAATCTTACCCTGGATTTTTACGATGTTACATCATACATGACATATTTAGAATATGAAGGCTTTTGAAGAGCCATGCTTTTTCAGGGAACATGTCTTATCTGATGTTCTTCCACACTTGCATAATAAGAATTATAACGCTCACAACTTATTTTTCACCTCTTCCCAGAACTCAACCTTCTCTTTAAAATAGCATGCTATATCTTCTTTTGAATACAGGACTACTTTTCGATTGGACCAACGATTACAGATCTTGTTTCTGCTTGGCGGGAGCTCTGCTCTGTATCGGTGGTGTTATTGGATTCTTGATAGACCCGTGGAACAGATGGAGACATCGTCTAGATGAAGAAATCGGTGACGGCATTTAAAGGCCCAGTAGTGGATTGTCATGGGGAATTCGACACTAATGATGATGATGATAATAATGGTTATAATGATAATACTAATAAAGAAAAACCATTCTTGTCTCTATACACTTGGGAAGACAAAAAAGCAAAGAGAAACTAATTTACTGCGTTCATTTATTTATCTAACATTTAGAATATTAAAGAGTATTTTGAAAGCATGCAGACTTAAACTTATCTATGGTATTAATGTTTCTAAGTGAGCCAGGGAGGTTATTCCATAAAACCCGGGCAGCATGGGCAAATGAACATACACTTTATGTTTTCTTTTGGTCAGAATAGGAAGAACAATTACAAAATGTTTTTTGCATGGTCGAAGATCTTTTGTTCGTCTGTATGCAGTGATTAATTCATTTCGATAAGAGGGAGCTACCCATTTTAACATTCATAAGCTAATTACAACGTAATGCAAGACTGGAATTAGTCTGCAAGCACAGACCCTAATTTCACACTTTATCAAATATCATTGTGCCTTGAGAGAAGCCTAGCCAAGCTACCCACTGGTTGTGTCAAGCACAGACTCTAATTTGACACTTTATCAAATATCATTTTGCCTTGAGAGAAGCCTAGCCCAGGTACCTACTGGTTGTATAGTACATGGCCTATGGTAGTTTTATAGTGCAGACTCTCTTTTACGACTGACCAGGGTCTGTGCTTGCAGACTAGACTGGAATAGTAATCAATTCGGGTGTTTATACCTAATCAAAGGTGTTGTCAATTCACCCAGAATGGATTTCACTTTTACTACCGACAGGTCTAATGTAATGCCAGGTATTGTGCCCTTAATCTATAGCCATGTCGAGATTTGATGGCAAGCTGGAATAGTTTCTTTGGTGGGCGACAGTTTTTTTTTGCTGCCCCGGAGACCTGCATACACGTTAACTGGTAATTTAGCCAATTTTGGTGTCAGCGAATGATGAGGCAATTACTATTCCAAGAAACGGATGACTGTGTGGATTTAACTCTTCATAATTGTGCCACACAAACAACACCCCTGTACCTCATTGCATGGTTGCACAAGTTAATCTTGCCGTCAAAATGTGCTTTGTGCAAAATCGTTCAACGAGCGACCAACCAGCCTGCCGGAGGTGAAGAAAGCATTTCGGAGTACAATATTCAGGGGGGAGTTTCACAGAACTTGTCATCAGTGACAAATAACAGTTTTGGTTATAAGCTACTAAAAGATCCTTGCTTCTGATTGGTAATCAGCAGATTTGTCACAGAATTTTGTAATTTGTCATTGAAAAAAAAAGGCTTTGTGAAACGGGTCCCTGAAGAACATACATGTAGTCCTCAGTGTGTGGGATGTATTTGGTAGCAGTGGCGTCCCGGCCCCCCCACTCAGGTTTCAAATGACCGCATGCGTGTTGCCAAAATGTCCTTTTCGTAACAAAAGAAAAGGTCGAGCCGTATTGACTTTACACACCGGACTTTTGCTGAAAAGGGGGGGATGCTGAAAAGGCTCGTATACAAAAGAAAAAGGTCGAGCCGTATTGACTTTACACACCGGACTTTTGCTGAAAAGGGGGGTCGGTTGGAACACGCATATGCGTACCCTAAATAACACTGAGTGGGGGGCCGGGAGTGGCGTAAGAGCTTGTTTAGATTATGACGGGCAAGGCGGCGTTTAACAAAAAAATGATGTACAGAGTTATCCTCGGTAAATTTCTGCTTTTTATAAGACATAGCTCACAGTTGCCATTTATTTACACGTAGAAAAACAATCCGTTTTCAAGCGCGTAGCCAGGATTTCATTTTAGGGGGGCGGTAGTGAGCACGCCGGAGCACGCGATGCGTGCGAATCACTTACAGAGCGCGCGTAGCGCGCTCCCCAAAGACATTTAAATATAATTACTAGACGAAAGCTTTGACGTTTCATTGCATTATTAGAGAAAGAAGACTATTCGTTGGACCGTTCTCGACTCTTAATCCTTATCTAAATTCAGTTTCTTTCTTTCGACGATGACGCCGTACACTGCAGTTGGTGGGTTGACAGAGTACAATAACGAATGACGCAATACTATAATAAGACGAACATAATAATTGCTCTCACCGTGAGGCACCCGTCTAACTCGATGGATGCAAGACAAATTTATTAGAGGGGGAGGAGGGGGGGGGGGGGGAGGCATTTCTTTGAGTTAAAGCAAGGTATTCACAACAATAACGAATACAAAAAGGAAAACAAGAAATTGCTGTATGAAGTTAGAAAGCTCAATTTTCGTGTTTAAAGCCGTAGTTTACAGGAGGGATTAGACCGCTCTGCAAGGTCACTGGATAGGTGGTTATCTCATCAACTCAGCTCTCAGTTAACATAAGAAAAAGAGGATCATGGGGGACCAATGGTCACCGATTAGGAATTGATTGTTATATAGAGGGCACAAGTAGCTACCAGTAGTGCAGTGGGCCTTTAATAAACGAACAACGAAAAGATCTCTGCCAATGCATAATAAACACTGGAATCGCAAAACGACACTAACAAAAATAATCTCTCAAAAGTAAGGCCAAATAAAAAAACAAAACATGTTTAGCGTCCTGGTTTTTTTTTAAATAGGAAGGAGGCGGCCCTTTTTCTTTTTTTTTTCTTTCAAAAGGGCCGCTCAAAATGGCCGCTCGGTACATTTTCCCTGACAGTTGGGCTATTTTTCAAGATGGCCGCCGACCCTTTTTTTTTTTAAAAATCAGAAATAGATCCATTTTAGCAGTGTTTTTCATGTTTTTTTTTCTTTAAAAAAAAAAAAAAAAATCAACAAAAAAAGAAAAAAGGAGGCGGCCCCCAAAAAGGAAGCGGGCGGGGACGCTAAACATGTATATATTTTTTAATGGCCTAAGTTTTCTTTAAAAAAGAAATAAAATAAAAGTGCCTTGCTAGGCTAAGACTCCCATGAAATATTATATTTACTCGCGTGCACCATGACTGTTTACTACTAAACAATCTGTTGATAATCAAGTCATTTGTGTTTCCTTCTTCTTTCCTACGTTTCTCTATTTTGAATTATGACATTTTACGTTTAAGCTGAGATTCCAGCTTTTTTGAGCGGATAACCAGGGGGGGGGGGTGCCCCCTTCTTAGGCTCCCTGGCTACGCCTATGATGCTGGTAGTTTACAGACGAAATAATGATAATAATTTCGACAGTCTGCATCATTCCATTTGTGGTATAGTGGTATCTCTCCACAGTCCTCTCGTGAGCGCCAGTTGTCCGGTTGACCTGGTGACCACATGGTAAAGTCAAATGGCGTTCCATCTGACCACTGGAAGTGATCTTCAGCTGATGTATCATGCATTCCAAGCAACATAGCAATGCTACCAGACTGATGGATAGAGACGAGGGAGGGAGAGAGAGAGGGAGGGTGTGAAAGAGAAGAGAAGAGAAGTGAGAGAGAGAGAGAGAGAGAGAAAGCGAGAGAGAGAGAAAGCGAGAGAGAGAGAGAAGCGAGAGAGAGACAGAGAGTAAGAGAGAAGAGAGAGAGAGAAGAAAGAGAGAGAGAGAGAGAGAGAGAGCGATTTAAATATGAAATTTAACTATTAAAAACGGTATACATGTACGTGAAGAAATATATTACAAAAGACACGTAGAAGACCTCCGAATCTTATGTATTTTATATAGATTTAGTAAACCTGCAGATCTTCATATTAAAGGGAAATTCCACCCTGATACCAAGTTGATTCTAATAATAGAAGTAGAGAGCTGAGAGAAACAGTTCAGTGAAATTTTGAGCAAAAAACGATTAAGAAATAAGAAAGTTATTAATCTTTGAAGGTGCGATCAATCCAGCACAAATTGGCAACTATGTGACGTATCGTGCGAGCTCCCCTCCCATTTGCCCTGTACCCCCAAAATAAGATAAAAAATATCTATTTTCCCTACAGAAAATTGTCAGTCATACATTCACCCTAGATATAATTATCGCAAATATATTTGTATACGTGATACAAATCAATTCCGTCATAAATAATTAAGAATTTTTTTTTATGAAATGTTGTCTCTCTCATGTTTCTGCTTATATTAAACCAAATTAATATCAGGGTGGACTTTAAATTGAAAGCCCTATACTTGACCGTATTAAAAGAATTGATGAAATTGTCGATATGGATTTATCCGTTCATTATATTGTTGTATGACGTGAGGTGTATGGGACCTAAACAACATATTTCAGGGATGATATCGATGTCTAGTGCAGGACAATTACCCCAGAACGACTACCCATAGAACAGTTTTCTTCAACAAAAAAAATTTGCATTAGCTATGTTACCCTACCTGTGGGTCTTATACCTTTATCTTTAAACCTCGGTTATAGGTAATATATTTTTTTTCGAGTATGGATTTTAAGTTTGTTTATGTTTACAATAACAATTAATACAATTTTTAGGACAATTGGACACAAGCACAATCCAGAGGGTAATTGTCCGGATAAGCTCTATAACAGATATGCCATAAATGTACCTCCTTTTTTCGAGAAGTTGCGAAAAGAGTTACGACGAAGTTGTGTTCTGCTTCAGAATGGATGGAAACCAGATGACCCAAACTATCTATGACTGCTCCTCCACTGCCGAGAGAGGGCACGCTGTAAGTCTGACAGTGGTTCTCTGCATCCTGCCATGTAGTGTTGGAGGCGAAGAATCTATAAGTGGATCGAGAGGGAAGAGGGCAAAGGTAAATTAAAGTTGCACCGTACTTGGAAGGGGTGGAGCATGGAGGATTGTCCTCATTACGTTGATTCCTACACTTAGTACAATCTTAACATTAATCATGGACCTATACTCCTAGCTGTACATAAACCTAAACGTAACCTAAGAAGGCCCTCGCCCTAACCATATAATATAGGCCCAGGGGCGTACGCAGGGGGGGGGGGGGGGGGGGGGGGGGGGTTTCAAACCCCCCTTTGGTATTTTTATGTGTGTAAACCCTCCTAAAAAAACTAAACCCCCCTTTGTTTGTTTTGTTTTGTTTGTTTTTTAATTTAAAAAAAAAAAAAAGTTATACCCACGGCTAACGTAAAGTGACCTTACCCCCCCCCCCCCCAACGAATTTTTTTTTCTTCAAATTTTCAAATTCCGAGACCAAAAAAAAAAAGTGTCCGCTTACCCCCCCCCCCCCCCCCCCCCCCCCCCCCCCCCCCCCACTGAGCGACTTTTCGGTTGGCTGAGTCTTTGCGATTTTCTTTTGGACTACCAGAAGAAAAAAAAAGTGTCCGCTTACCCCCCCCCCCCCCCCCCCCCCCCCCCCCCCACTGAGCGACTTTTCGGCCGGGGCGCGATTTTCAAATTTTCGGGAGCAAAATATTTTGGGCCAGATTTTAAACCCCCCCCCTTGAAAAAATCCTGCGTACGCCCCTGTATAGGCCTACCTAAGTTTGGCGGAATAAAGCCCAGAGAAACCAAATCATACACACATCTAGGTAGGCATTACGTGTAGCCGCCGGGTTTAGCCTCCGAATACCCCATCAACATAACTTTCCCCATGCATGATTTCATCCCATCTATATAAATTTGCTTTAAAAATGTAGTACACATAGCTGATGTAATATGCTCTTTACAAAACAAATACACGTTCACCCGTCCCACACACAAAACAAGAAGGAGAAGAAGCAGAAGGAGAAGAAGATGAAGAAGAAAAAGAAGAAGAAAAAGAAGAAACAATCGCAAAACAATTTTAACGTCAAAGCTAAACAGAAATGAAAAACACAATATCCCCAAAAGCTCCTGCGACCATTGGTCAGCGGTAATTTTCCATAACTAACCGAATCGAACTTCTACATCACCAGACCCAACATTATACCTAACCCTAACCCTACTACCTAAAACCTAACCCGGCCTAAATCTCTACCGTATAAGTATTATATCCCCTTGCAAATGTCGGATCACCCCAACTATAAACATCAAAAAAAGTTTCTGACAAAGACAAGATGAAAATATAAAATAATGATAACTGTTTATTGAAAAGAAAAAAAAAAAAAAAAAAATTAATAATCCCATTTTACCTGTAACAATGCTGTCCGAAAGCAGTCCAGAATGTTGGACAGCAACAGCCAGCTCGTACCCCAGTAGGACAGGCAGTCATGACGATGGCCAAACAGATGAAAACCAGCGTGGTCTTTCGATAAAACTCCATCATACTACTTCTGCTTCTCTTGTCAGAACGTAGCCACTCAGTTTGTTATTATTGAGCAGCTTTGAGTCGACCGTTTTTCTTGGAATGTATTTGTCGTAAAGGTCTGTTTAATTATGGAAAGTTTCGCTGTGTCTGCATGGCGATATATATATATATATATCGCAGTGATCCGTCTGCCAAAGGAAGTTCCGCCTCTTTAGGAAGAACCCGGCCACAGAACGGTATGCATTGGATAGATTAAATAACTGTAATTGGATAGATTTTATAATTCTATACACTATGGAAAACTCCTTTCATTTCAATTAGGCTTCCTATATAAACAGGATGTTTTTATATATGCACTCATCTACAATGACTTCCGGAACAAAGGTCGCAAGCTACGGGAAATAAATAATCATAGTATATCAGTCCTAAATTGTAAAGGAAACTTGCATTAGATCTTTTCTACCTTAACGCTAGGTTGAAACAATAATGAATACAACAACAACAAAACAGGATAAAAGTGATGTAGGAAGATAGAAAGCTCAATTGTAATCTTTAATAAAACAACAGCAATAAAGAGACCTCTGCCAATGCATGGCAAACATTGAAGTGCAAAACGACTCTTACAACAATAATCTCCGAAAAGTAAGTTTTCATTTAAAAAACAATATTACGTGCCTTGCTAATTGAGACTCCTCTAAAATGTTTTTATATATTACGTGCGTTCATGACTGTGAAGTACTAAACGCTCCGTTGAAAACCACATCTTTTTTCGTTCTCTTCCTCTTTCCCCATTTCTCGATTTCAAATTATGATATTTAGCGAGATTTAATGAGATTCTCAATGATTCGTTTTCAATATCTGAGCATCATGTACACAATAGGCCTACATTATCATTAATTCAATCATTGTACAGTCACGTTAAAAACAGACACTTTCGTTCTTTATGCCCATGCATATTGTCTGCCATCATCTGAAGTCTCACTGAAGGTATTTTTGTTGAGTGTGCTAAAACGCAATTCTATGCGGCCTGTACTTCAAATCGTCGGGTCATCACGCCGGGTCGGGGACTCAGGGTCGCGTACAAACGACTTTTTGTATGCCCCTAATTTATTCACGAAATTCCTCTGTAGGGCCATGCATTATGGTTCAAGGCATGCCCACATAGAGGATTTTTCTTTTTTAATGTTTGGGGTCGGGGCAAAATGCAATGAATTATTGATAATTCATTGCATTTTCTTTGTTTTTTTTTTGTATTTGTGGGGGCGACGACGTACCCTAGCCCCCGCTGCGTACAGTCATGATTCAGTGACTAAGCAATGGCCTCGTAACTGTGAGCCCTCAGGATCAAAACCGTGTCGATGTGCTATATTAGAGCCCTTTTATGAGGCGTTAATCCTCATTACTGTCAGTTATGACTGAAGAGGACGTAGGTCCCCTAGTTGTTTAGCATAGTAGCATACACATGCTTTAGCAGTCACGCAAAAGAAACACTCACAAATAATTATTGAATACAATTTGAGAATGTAACCTATTATCTAGATCTATTAGAAATAAATCATTTTTTAAAATCCTTCCCTAAACTGGGGTAAAAATAATTATTCCACCATTATGACCAACAGTGTAGATCTTTTAGGAATAAATCATTGTCAAAATTACTCCATAAATTAAATAATTATTTCACCATCATGACCAACAGTGTAATAGCAAAATACAATATAAGAAATTAACTATTTCTCCATTTCTTTAAGTTTGACAAATGATAAGATTAAGAAATCACGTCAAATCACAACATAAACTTTGTAGTAGTTATAGCATGTAGAAGCAAAGATATGATAATGAGACAGTATTAGATTGAGAGATCACCCAATCACATTTGCGGTACATGGGTAACACACTAGAAAACAAATATGAAAGAAAGACAGTACCTCATTAACTGAGGATAATCATTACTAGTCCTTGTAATTAATCCACTTGGATGTGCCTTTTCCCTTTGACTGTGACTGGGTCACAATGCTAAAATTTTAATTACCACACATGTTCCGGCGGTCGATATTCTACAGTAACCCGGCGATTTTTAACTTCGACCCTCGACCAAACACGTATACATAACCCTTTAAAGGTACTATGTCCCATTTGCAGGCCAAAAAAAATGAAAAGGTTACATTCCAATTGCATTTGAAAGATAATACTAATTTAGAACTCCCCTTAAAAAAAGGGGGCTTGAAAATGTCTTAAAGTGGGAAAATAACGACTATTAGTTGCCAATTCGACTTAGGAGCTATAGAGAAAATAAGTAATAGTCTTCATTTTTAGACCATTGTACCGCATAATCGTACGTTTTATGCTGCGCAAAGATTCAATCAGTTTAATTTTGGCCATTACAAGAAGTAGGTTATTGATGTCGACAATTCCTTTACAGCTCATTTTATGTATGTTATTACCAAAGAAGAAAACAAAACCAGTCACTCACTCAATACTGACAATAGTGTCTGACAGTGAAGTCTAGCAAGTAAACGGGTTTCCTTGCATACTTTGAATATTAGGACACTACTAACGTTTACATTTCACAGAAAGGACATACATGACATATTCATAATTCCTGCAAAGTTCTAAAAAAATGAGGTTGGCTGCAAAAGGGACGTGGTGTCTTTAAAGCCAATAGCGATCACATCCCTGTGTCGTTGATTTCTGACCCCGAATTATCCACAAATGTTTTAAAGATGGATACATCCCATTGTGTGCACTTTAGAAGAATCACTGCCAAAGTGATGGCGGTGCTTCATTGGTACCTCTTGTTTGCTTCTAGAAGAAAATACTTCCACCTGCGTATCACAGAATGTGCCGCCAAGGCACTTATGATACTACTAATGATAATCAATGTTCTTCTACATGTATAACGCATTTGAAGACCGTAGGCCAACCTCCCACTCCCCGCCAATTTGCAATTTATACTCTATGAAAACATTTTTCAAAAAGATAGATATGCTGTGGTTTCTTTAAAATTTCGACGTTGTTATAGAGCGTAGCGATAATGGGAGCATTCCAAATGAATATGACATAACTTCCATGAACAGTATCAAGCATTCGCCCCGATGGATTTTACAGTTTGTGTACAAACATGTACATGTATTACATTTACCTAGCCATGCCCGAATTGTACTATACAAACTGCCTTATTGTTGCTGGAGTATATGTCGGAGCATTAATTAAAGTGATACTGAACGAATAATGAACGTTCTGCCCTAGCATAATGTTCATTGCATATACCCAACAACCACTTCGCAGAGGACACGATGCGAGAACCAACTGGCTGCTAGGGAAGCAGGGAATTACGGGACCATAATTATACTGCTACAGCTGATCTGAAAAAGCGCTAGATTTTTTTTTTTTTTTTTTTTTTTTTTTTTACAATAGCGCTTCTAGTACTGTATTGCTTTAATGAAGAAGCTGGCACGTGAGGATAATCTGCACTTATTTAAGTATTAAATTCAGCTAGTAGAAGTGTGAGACATTTTGTAATCTCGACGGACAAAACATGCCATTTTACACCATAAACACTCTTATCCACCTTGTCTGGGTGATAATGGCTGATGGCACGAATCAGTAGCTTCCTCTTTGAAACCTTCGACGACGACGACGACGACGACGACGATGCCTTAGGTATCTTCGACTCATCAATCCATTTAGGAGGCCACTGCTTGTATACTCGTTCGACGAACTCGTCAACGGGTAACTCTCTGAGACTTTCCAATTTCTTTAGAACGCCTTTTAGTTGTTCCTTTGCAGTCTCTTTCTCCTTAGCTTCCCTTTTTTCTTGTTCTCGACGCGCCTGTTCATCTGCGATTAGTAAACAAAATGAAAAGGGGGTATACTTGCACCCATAACTTCCTCTTTATGATAAGAATCATTATAACATAATTATTACAATAATAATAATAATAACAATTGTAATAATAACAACGATAACAACAATACTAATGCCAAAACGTACCATTTCGCTTACAAAGTTACAATATCATAGAATCTCAAAGAGAAACATAAAAAACATAGACTCATGAAATGGGTACATCACAATATACGACAGAGGGAATAGGTTTTCTTTTTATAAATACATCAAGGAAATACCAACAATACAGACCGCCCCCTACCCTTTCCCTTGAAAATTTCATTCCCCTCAACTCTTGATTTGTCGTTCATTTTCTGGAGTGTTCCATCCAGCGGAATATTGATGGGTAGGGGGCACTGGCCTTACCTCGTGAAAGAAAGGGGAGTGTCATGGGGCGGGGGTGGGGGACGAATGTCAATCACATTTATTCTTACATCTTTTGAGTCTCCCTCTCCTTCTCATTTTGGGTTGTTTCCTCTCTCTCTCTCTCTCTCTTTCTCTCTCTCACTTTCCCTCTCTCCCTGTCTTTCATTTTTTCTATCCCTCTCTCCATCTTGCTCTCTTTCTCTCCCATCCCTCTCTCTCTTTCCCACTCTGTCTGTCTGTCTCTCTCTCTCTCTTTCCCTCTTCCCCCTCTCTCTCTCCATGTCTCTCGCTCTCTCTTTTTCTCTCTTCCCCCTCACTTTGCATCATTCGATTTAGGTAGGTGACACTTCGTGCCCCTGCTTTGCACTTATTTTTGTATAATTATTATTATTACTGGGTCCCAACTTTCCTAGTAAAATTATGTTAAATGAAATAGTTACAGTGATTAATGTAGACGTCTCTAACTAAATGTTCACATAGAGAGAGCGTAATGAGCTAACGTATTACCTTTGGCCTTCGATAAACATTTCTGGACGACATCTTTTTGGTACTGGACGTCTTTCTCCAGGTCAGTGACGTTTACTTTGAAGCTTGAAACCGCACCTGTACATCTTTTCTTTGCTTCATTCAGGGTTGTACTACATTCATCCATGTATCTAGAGATACAATATCAACAAATACTAAATGAATGCAAAGCAAAACTTTTCTTTATACGCGGGAAGTCTGAAGAGCCTTTCTAAAAGTTAACCTCAAGCAATTTCTGTAGCAATATTGTGTGCTATTTATAGACCAGGGCCCTTTTGCAGCCAACATCCAAAACTGTAGAACTTCGCAGGAATTATGTATATGTCATGTATGTGAGAAATGTAAACATAAGCAGTGGCCTATTATTCAAATTATGCAAGGAAACCCGTTTACCTTCTAGACTTCACTCTCAGACACTATTGAGTGACTGACAACTTTTTTTCTTTGGTAAAAACAAACATAAAATGAGCTGTACATGAGCTAACAGGTACATGAGCTTTTGTCTACATCAATAACTCACTACTTGTAATGGCCAAAATTAAACTGATTGAATCTTTGTGCAGCACAGAACGTATGACCATTCGGTAAAAGGGTCTGGAAATAAGACTATTACTTAGGTGATTGCAATCATTTAAGTCGATTCGACAACTAATGGTCGTTATTTTCTCACTAAAAGCGACTTTCAAGTCCTTTTGTTTTGAGGGAAGTTCTAAATGAGTGTTGTCTTTCAAATGCCGTTGGAATTCAACATTTTATTCTAGTTTGGCCTGCAAATGGGAAAATGATACCTTTAACACATATAACGTACTCTTGGCAGCTCTTGTATTCTTGGTGCTGCAGAGCATCTTTTCCTTTTCTGAAATACATATTTGCGATGCGAAGATAGCAGCTGACCTTAGCGTCACATTCAGGCATGTAACCTACGTACTCCTTGAGGGCAACTACCCGATCTGGAGGAGTCAAAAGCAAATAAACAAAGACATGTAGGAGTCGATTAAGACTACAACCCACGAGACCGACAATGTTGTTCGGTCTCACAAGCCTTTCGAAAGGTTATCTGAATGTTTATGAAACCCACAGCCAATGGCATGAGACTGACATGTCGGCCTCGCGGGCTGTCTAACAACTTTTCTGAAGGTGCATGAGACCGATAGTTGTCGCTCTTGAGGACCGCCAGTCCCGTGAGCCGTCTGTTATCGGGAGGCCCCTGTTGATGTAATTAGGTCATATCCATATGCATTTGTCGTGATAAAGTGAGTGGATCTTGACTCTCAATCTAAGGGTTCATTGGTCGCACCCCAGTCCGACTCACACTGTGAAATACATGGTTCGCGACTCGATCGAGTCCCACCGTGGCACCAACGTCCTTTGTCAAGAAATTAATCTACATTTGCCACTCTCCGCTTAGGTGGAAAAGGGTACTGCAATTGCTGGGGTAAAAATAATCGCAGGGCCCGCATTAAAAACTGATTAGGCTATCCTGGCTAAATAAGACCAAATTAATTTGGTTGTTATTATCATGATTATTCTCATAGGCGCCGGAGGTGGGAGGTGGGAGGGGGGGGGGGGTAGGGGGAACAAAACTGATTTTCGCCCCCCCCCCCCCCTCCTCCTTCCAAAAAAGAGGTAAGGGAGTAAAAATGGTTTGTACTCTTTAACCAAAAGGAAAATTAAAAAAAATAAAATCTGCATTGAATCACAAATTATATTCCATTCAAAGAAAAGAAGTGTAAACAGGAATTTAATTTAAATAACTCACGAGTTTCATGAGGCTCAGCCCCCTGGACCCCACACTAATTAGTGACCTGCCAGTGTCACAATTAAGTTATCTAACTATGCTTATCTGACCGTAATCTTTTTTTGGTGCTCATTACGCCACTGCCACTGAAATATGAGCCCCCCTGGAATGTTCGCCCCATCCCCCAATCCCAAAACTGCTACCGGCGCGCCTGATTATGATTCTTATCATTAGTCATCATAATTAAGACATTTATTATCATTCTACTATTGACAGTTATCTTTATCGACAAGACTTTTATAAAAAAAACGAGTACCTTCGTCATTTCTTGGGGCAATCCATGTTCTGATGTCATCTAGACATTCCTTGATAGACTTCTCAAGATGTTTACCCCATTCTTCGACCATGCAGTTCCTTTTCGTGTAAGCGGTACCGAAGTGCTGCAGAGCCGCTTTAAAGTGCGCATGTATCACCTGTAGCGTAAAATAGGCATGCATTGTGTATATAAAAAGCATGCCAAATATTTAACTTTATATCTTAATAACAATAACAAAACCCTACTCTTTCCATCTTGAATCCATAATGTAGGTTTTGAGTATCTAAATTTCATTTCGTTCATAATATCTTAATTATTGTTTCTCATTTGATTGTTTTGAATTGCATGTTTCTTTTTTTTTGTAATAAAATAGCGCTCTGATCAGTTTTTCTGTAATAGCGCTCAATAAGAATCAATTATTATTATTATGATTAAACACGATTGAAATCTAGTTAATAGTAACTAAACTTACTTCTGTCTAGTGATATCCTATTCATATTTTTTCTGCCACGGATGACTGATGAGCAAAATAGTTCTTTAATGCCTCAGTCACACCTTTGTGTATGCATGGCTGTTTAAAAATGTATTCCTATTTCTTGATATAAAAAATTACCATTGCTTTACATCAGAAAATCATTTCCTGATATTAAGAATTCATTTCTTGATATCAAGAAATAAGAATAAATGTTAAAGGCACACTGCCATACTTGTAGCTACTTGCTCCCTCTATATAGAAAACTTCCCCAATCGGTGCCTGTTGGTCCCCCATGATCCTCTTTTTCTTATGTTAAATGAGAGCTGAGTTAATGAGATAGCCACCTGTCACAGTGACCTCGACGGCTCGCTGTGTGGTCTAATCCCTTCTTTCCCAGTAGTGGTGACGGTCTTTAAAAGGCTAGCCATAAATACGCATCAATACGCAAGCCAAATACGCAAAGGTGTGACTGAGGCATTAGGTCAGTGTAGGCTGATCGGGGACTGAACCAAACAATTGAAGGACACATCTACAAACCTTTCGCTCATCAGAACATGCATTCATCTTCAGTTTAGCTAGCTTCCAAGAAACAGTTCCAATGTTCTTTGCCGCTGAAACATATTCACCATACGTTTGAGAACTGGCGTAAGCTTTCTTGTAACACTCCAGAGCACTCTAACAAAAATAGAAACATAGATTTATGGTCTTCCAGTCAGCCAACAATTACCTAGGGAAATAAATTACACACAGTACACATAGATACAGTTACAGCAACTGAACGCACTATTATACCACATCAGAGGCGGCCCTCGGGGGGGGGGGGGGGAGGAGGAGGGGCACAGTGCCACCTCCACTTTTCCAAGTACCCCTTTAACTTTGTGAGAAGTGACCATTTTACCTTCGAACCTAGTGCCTCGAGAGAAGCCTAGCCCAGCTACCTACTGGTTGTGTCAGGAGCAGCTATAGTACATGGCCTATGGTAGTCTTATAGTGCAGACTCTCTTTTACGACTGACCAAGGTTTGTGCCTGCAAACTAGGTCGAACCCCCCTCAATTTTTGTTTTATTTTGTGTTAAAGGGTGACCCCAAAAAGGTGACCTTACCCCCACCCCCCCCCCCCCCCCCCAACTGAACGAAATATCGGTCGGCCAAATTTTCGGGACAAAAAAAAAGGTGCAATAAGCCGTTTTAACGATTATTCTTATTTCCTGATATCAAGAAAATCAAAAAAACAAAGAAAATGCAATAATTTTTCAATAATTCATTGCATTTTCCTCAAGTCCCTAACAGGAAAAATTCCTCTGTAGGGCCATGCATTATGGTTTAAGGCATGCCAAAATAGAAGATTAGTTTATGTTGGAGGTCGGGGCAAAATGCAATTGATTATTGAAAAATCATTGCATTTTGTTTTTTTTTTTTTGTTTTTGTGGGGGCGTCGACGTACCCTAGCGCCCGCTGCGTACAGTCATGAGTCATTGGCTAAGCAACGGCCTCGTTACTGTGAGCCCCCAGGATCAAAACCGCGTCGATGTGCTATATTAGTGCCCTTTTATGTGGTATTAATCCCTATTACTGTCAGTTATGACTTTAGGTCCCCTTGTTGATTAATATTGCTTTAGCAGTCACGCAAAACAAACACTCCCCAATTGTCATTCAATAAAATCTGAGAATGTATACTATTATCTAGATCTATTAGGAAAAAAATTTTCAAAATCTTCAATAAATTGGGGTAAAAATAATTATTCCACCGTTATGACTAACAGTGTACATCTGTCTGTGTACAGTGCTTGTACCTTTACCAAGACTGGGTCAATATAATTTTGATGATTCCAGAACCTTGCAGGAAAAAACGAATACATATGATAGAAGATCAACCATTTTTGATCGATTCCACAACGTTTCTTTCACAATGCAATCGCATGACCTAAACTGGTCTATACCTTTAAATAACTTGATCAATAACTAAATTTATAACATGTATCTAAATTACCTTTGTGCGACTATGATTTACTAAGAATGGTATCGTATACTACAATATTTCATCATGTGATATATCGAAAACAATAAAATGATGCTGAAACCGAAACCTGTTTCCCGCTCAGAAGAAGGAAACAATTTTTTCTACTTTCATGCCAACAAATTACAATTGGTACTTGAAGTCGTATGGCATGAGTTTCTGAGGGGGGGGGGGGGGAATTCCCTCTCATTCCCAACATTACCAATCAACATAATTTTACTTATTTGTTTTGTGAGAAATCATTGAAAGAAATACCAGGGAAGTTATGATATGAAATAAACCATTTCATGTAGGCGTGTTCACATGTGACCCCTTAAATAAAGGTCTATGGATTTGTTATAGTAACTCTTTATGTTATTTAAATTAAGTTGTTAATGTTTAAGCGCATTTCATTCAAAGTAGTTTTTTGTAGTGGTATTTTTTATTAATTGTGTTAACAAATACTAAATTTTTAAAGACATAACAATCTGATGGGATTATTTCATTTCATATGCTATGCCCTACATATAGTTGTGGATATGATTAGTTGTAGTCGTTAGTCAGGTGAATCCGTTAAATGTTAACATCACTTTTTTGTTGTTGAGTGATTGATTTTGTTTATTCGACAATTGTTTGCACAATAAAGAATATAGTTGACAAAGTAAGATCAAATTATGAAATGAAACAGGAACCTACTGGAAAGCATAGCTTGTTTTTGTAGGTTCCCAAGAATAAATGTAATATGAACATTATTATCATAAATCATTTTAAAGTGTCTTAATAATCACAGTAAAGTAGATATAATATAATAACATATTTCGGTAAACCATTTTAAAGTACCTAAATAATCATACAAAAATACAAGAAGAAAAGAATGACAAAACGGGACACAAAGGACAGGAAATTACATAAAAAGATAAGACAAGACATGACAACACAAGTCATAACACGACAAGATAAACGAGACGGGATAAAACAAGACAAAAACAAAGCTGCACACAACAGAAGTTAGAAGAAGAGGGAGAGAGGGAGAGAGAGGGAGAGAGAAAGAGGGAGAGAGAGAGAGAGAGAGAAACAGGGGAGATGTGAGAAGTTTAACCTTCAGGAGACATATATTTTTGGATTAAATTCTTTTTGAACAATCTACTATGTAGGTTTATTTCTAACTGGATCTGAAAGAGAGTTCCGAAGTTTTGGACCTGAAAATACAAATGATTTATTCGAGAGCAAAGTTCTTGTTTTTGGTAAATGAAAAAGCTCGGCAGACCGAGTAGGATAATGATGAATATTGACATTCTTTGAAAACATTGAATAAAAAACATTTGGCAGTTCATTTCTTTTGAAATTATACATGAATATTCCCAGATTATAATTGTATAAATCTGTTATCTTTAGGATACTATGTGTGTGAAAAAATGCATCCATGCGCGCTCGAAAATCAGAATGACATATAATACGCAGCGCTTTGTTCTGGAGTAATAAAATTCTATTTAAAAGATATTCAACACAATAATTGCCCCAGGCTATAATACCGTAGTTTAAGTGTGGGAGGATTAACGTTGAATACAGGTTTAATAATATACGAGTTGGATAGTAAAATTTGACCTTGTTTATAATGCCAATATTTCTTGAAATACCTTTACAAATATTATCTACATGTTCCTTCAAGGAAAGCTTTTCATCTATCGTTATTTCCAGAAATTTAGTATTTAAAACTCTTTGAGTAATGGCACAATCAAAAACAACATTGCCTGGAAGTTCATTTATTATGTTACTGAAGAGCATGTAGTTCGTCTTTTGCAGATTGAGAGATGATTTATTGGCTTTGATCCATTCTGAAACACATTTTAATTCCTGGTTGATGGTGGAAAGCAAAATATGTGGGTCCTTATGGGAAAAGAAAAGATTTGAGTCGTCAGCAAAAAGAATAAAAGATAAAACCTCCGAAGACTTACAGAAATCATTGATATAAATAAGAAAAAGAAGCGGGCCCAAAATAGAACCTTGTGGGACACAACTTACACCTTTCGTATTAGACAAGGCATTAGCAATAGAAACACACTGCTGCCTATTGTAAAGGTAGTTTCTGAACCACTCCAAGGCTATTCCTCTAACTCCATAATAACTGAGTTTGTAAAAAAGTATATCATGATTAATTGTATCGAAAGCCTTGGAGAAGTCCAGGAACACCCCAACAGTATGTTCATATTTATCGATCCCACTAGCAATCTTATTAATCATAGTCAACAACGCATGAGTAGTGCTGTGTTTTGCACGAAACCCGAACTGCAACTGGTATAATAATTCATGTGTTTCCAGGAACTTACATGTACGTGTAAAAACTATTTTTTCCAAAACTTTAGATAAACAAGTTAGAAGCGATATAGGTCGGTAATTTCCTACAACCATATTGTCAGTCTGTCATTGTTCTCCATACTTTGTTGGAAATTATTTTGTTGACTCTAGTTACTTTTGGATTTTTAAAAATTTAATTGAAAGACATTTGTGTCTTTGTTTGCCGCAAGCGAAGTTAAAATTTGAAGTTCTGGACGAGTGAATCCGCTTAATGTTATCACCAGTTCTATTAGTTTCCATCCTTCGTCCACAAAAAAAAAGAAAGAAAAAAAAAAAAAAAAAAAGAATCGGCTCTAGTTCATTTAAATTATATATTTTTTATGTTTTAAAAAACATATTGTTTTTCAGTTTTCATTGTTTTCCTAACAGGGCGTACGTACCCTGCCAAACGAAAAAACCAGTCCCAGGATAGAGCAGTTTCGCCCTTTTGAAAACGGTGTGCCTGACCCCAGTGAGAATGGAATATTAGAATGGATAGACATTACGTATGCATTGATACATGAACAAGCATGGTCTTCCTCTTCATGAAACGACGGCTCTAGAAATGTGAGAACAAAAATAAGGCGAACACTCCCCGCTCTTCCCTACTGCTAGTTAATGTTAGACATTAAGTTGGTTAAAATATCATTTCATAAAAGATTATCACGAAATAAAGAAAATCAAGCAAACACTTAAAGATACAAAATTCTTCCTTTTCACGCAATAATACAGTGCCAGGCAGGTTTAGTTGTTTCGAGATGTTACCAAAAGGTAATCGATGCTTACTTTTCAAACACTTGCCTCTCTGACTACAGGCCTACCCTGTATTTTAAAATAATGATTACAATAGTCAGTCGGAAATACAATGTCATTATTGAGTACATGATGATAAAATCAGCATGGCTCATGTACAGCGAAACGTATTGAACCTATGTTATATTTTTGTGATAGTAATACATGTATGTACAGTGCCATGAGCGTCAGAGCCTGGCGGATACCGGCGCTATATAAATATCCATATTATTATTATTATTATTATCATATCTAAAAATGGCAAAAATGTTTTTGTTTTTGTTTGAATTAAATCGCTCCGTCGCTCTTTTTTGGCTATTGCAACCTACCTTGACTGAGAGAGCAAAATACATAGTGAGCACATTTTGTTTCGGCCCTCGAAAATGTGACAATTTGCACCCCCCCCCCCTTCAGCACCAGGAAGGGGGGGGGGGGGGTGGGGGGGGGGGCATCCCCCCAAAAAGGTAAAAATCACGTGTTTTTACACGTTTTTTTCCCCCTGGATCCGCCACTGGTGTATGGACACAGAACAGTACATGTACATTGTGACGAAATGCACAATGGGGCAAAATAAAAAAAAAAAAAAAAAAAAAAAAATATTAACATCATTATTTTTCTCCATGAACATTATTTCGGGGGTCCGGGGAATCCATCCATCCAGCAATTTCCAGGCTCCCTCAATCGAGGGGGTTGGAAATTCCCTTTCGTCTCTAAAGGACAACATAGCCTATGCCACGGCGGGGTTTTTTTTTGTCTTCCTTTTTTTTTACTTTAAATAATGGTCCTACTTTAATTCACTTATCCAAGTGTGATTTTTTTTTAAAAGTGAAATTCTGTACGCTGAAGTACAGTTTCAAACAACCCCGCGGCATATGTAAAATGGCCCATATAAGGGGGGTGCAGATTTTGTTCACCTTTTTCTTTTTAAACCAAATATGAGAGCTTGTTGTCATGTTTTTTTTTGCCTCCCCAACCCCCTCTATGGTCTGAGCTTTTCCTGTTCAGTGAATTTAGTAATATTGGTACGTTACCTTGAAGCGAACTAATTTGGCCATGTCGCTTCCCTGATCACAAGCTAACTTGAAAAAAGTGTTACCCTTTTCTCTTGACATTTTCGATGTGTCCTGGTTTGATGTCTGATCGGGACCTAGACAAACAGAAAATATTGCGATACTCAGAGAGATGATACAAACAAGAACAATACCTTAACAGTAAAGAATATCAAACGACACTATAATACACCGCTTGAAAACAGAATGGATGGCCAATAAGAAGGAAAAAGAAACACAAAATTATGTGAACAAATACGTGAAAATTAGTAAGGACAAGCGGAGTGGAAAATACATGAAAATTATTTAATTAAAATAAACAGTAGTCCTTCATACCCCCTTCTCTCAATAGCACCCCTCCCCCGCCCTCCTTCGTGCCCAGAAATTCCACAAACTTTGTGAACTGTTACATACATGCATGTTTGGGTTTGGTCAATTTTGATTTTTTTTTTTTTTTTTTTTTAATTTGCAATAAATTTGAACTAGTGTTAAGGCGCATTTGTAGCTGATGTGAACTAACTTAATATCTTAATTTACAGATCGTGTTAAAGTCTCTTACCATGACGTGGTTGATCATGCGCCGTATGTCCTCCGGGAGACTTCTGTGTGTGTGGTGCTTGTGCAGGATTGCTGCCATCTTTGGCGCCATGGGACCCCGAGGTTCGACCAAAGTGCGTTTCATTCCACTCATTGTCTTCTACAACTGGACTGACAAAATTGATGCATTTTGCGAAGTATCCCTTGGGTCCTACGTACAAATTGAATACCACTTGATCTTGAACTGCAACTGGCTTGAACGATACTTCAGAGATATGAAAGAATACTTTGCTGTAGGTTTCATCCACCTTTATAAACCCGAATCGACGTCTGTTTAGATATCGCGTCACAACGCCAGTTGCACAGCAAACCAGGAGCGTCTCCTTGTTCACAGCTTCATCAGGTTCAGAGTCAGAATCTTCACTATCCAAATTCAGAAACCCAATAGATTCTGCATAGTACCCTTTAGGTCCTACAAACAAATCAAACCTCACCTCATCTCCGACCTCAATGTATTTCTCTGGAACAGCTGAAATATGAAAGAACACTTTGTTGTAAGTGTCATTCACTCGGATAAAGCCAAAACGACGTTTGTCATTGTACTGCTTCACTACTCCGGTAACTTCTTCATGAATAGGTCCCTTTTCAGACTCAGACTCGGACTCGACTGACTCATCATCTTCATCCGGAAGTAAAAGCTCGACAGATTTTGCAAAGAGTCCCTTTGGTCCTTTATACAGTTCAAATATCACCTCATCGCCAACTTGAACGGACGGGTCAGAGATATCTGAGATACGGAAAAACACTTTGAAATTGCCAAAATCGGTGTCAACATTTATAAAGCCAAAACCACCTCTAGCTTTCTTTCTCAACTTCACTACTACTCCAGTTAAATTGCTCCAAACGTGTTTACCCTGCGACATGATAATTTATTCGATCGTGAAACCACCTTGATAATAACTATCTTTGTCACGACAACGCTGATAAATCTATACATACCCTACACCATTAAAGAGAAATATAGCCAATATACTTCAAGCAACGAATGGTATTATGTCGATTATGAAGAGAATATCGTCGATCTTATGTCGCGAATCGTCATATTGTCATATATGACCTGCATGTAAGCAATGAATTATAAACTCGTCAAGCTGCTGTAATCATTACATGCATGTATGTGCAACACAGCACGCACTTAATCAGATACAGCACTAACATGTAGCTAAAAATAGCACCTGTAGAATCCCGGGTGCGCATATTTTTTTTACACAACTGTTTAGCCACTTCAGTAAAATATGCTGTACAAACGACTAGAGATAGAGTCTAGCATTACCCTTAGCAGTTTTGTTGGATTGCTGGAATTGTACAACATATATACTCATTATTTGTTTCGGGTTATATCTATCCTCTCTGCTCTTTCATTATGTATTTTTGTGTTCTCCTTCAATCTATCCTCTTCTCTTTTGTCATGTATATCTTTTTTTATTATCTTCAATCTATCCTTTTTCTCCTTCGTTAATTTTCTTTGTTTTTTCTTCAATCTATCCCCCAGTTCTCATTCGTTATGTATTTCTTTTGTTCTCTTTTATTCTAACCTCTTCTCTTTTGTTTTATGTATTTCTTTGTTTCTCCTTCAATCTATCCTTTTTACCTTCGTCATGCATCTATTTCTTTGTTTTAATATGATAGATTCCCTTTCTCCTTCTTTATGTATTTCTCTGTTTTTCCTAAGTGTAGATCTATGATCCTCTTAGCTCTTCAATTATGTATTTCTATGTTCTTCCTTTGACTTATCCTCTTCTCTTTCCTTATGTATTTCATTGTTTTTCCTTCTCCATATCCTCTCCACTATCCTTGTTTTCCCCTTTCTGTCATCTTCCCTTCCCTGGGTGTACGTGCTTGCACACAGTGCGCTGACGACCTAGACTCTTTCACCAGAGCACTTCTAGGAATTTTTTCCCGAAAATGGCTAAACAGTTGTGTAAAAAAAATATGCGCATCCCGCGCAGAATCATCGTAAGTGTTATTGTTTTCGGATTGCGCAAGATTTGTTGGGGGTTCCCACGTTTGGATTCCTACAAACCTTTTGTATGGAGCGCAAAGTGTACGACCTCATGTACGACTTCTGGCTATTAAAAACAAAAGTAAGATCTATAAAATCCACATCTGTTGACGTGATTGCTTGTTGTTGTTGTTGTTGTCTTGGGCAGAAATAGAGAGAGGGGGAGAGAAGAAATACAGAGAGGGGAAGAGAGAGAGAGAGAGAGAGAGGGGGGGGGGGGGGAGAAAACTTGAAATAATTTCATTCATAAAGAAATCGCCAGTGGGTATTTCCAATGTTCTAAAAATAGACATCACAGGCATCGACACATAGAGTGCTATGCCAAAAAAGTCATACAGTGCAATCGTAATTGGCATTAAGTACAAAGTTAAAGTCCGCCGAAAGATGACTCATCGAAATTGAAAATGAATTTGAGATTCTATTTCATTCTCATTATAGGTATAATATGGTAGACAAAGAGATCAGTGCAGCAAATAATTGAGAAAATAGAAAGAGGCGTAAAACTCGGAAAGGTGTTCGGTATGCACAGGCTTTGAAATGTTCCACTTGATGAATGCAACGCTTCGATCCCTCTCCCTTTTTCCTTTCTTACTTTCTCTCTCTCTCTCTCTCTCTCTCTGCCTGTCTCGCGCTCGCTCGCTATGAAAAGTCCCTTCTTAATTGAAGTTTACAACGACTACACAGCCACTTTCTCTCTCTCCCTCTCTCTCCCTCTGCTTCTTCCTGTTTTTGTTATCCCTTTCTTTCGTGTTACTTTAAGATTGACCAAAAAAAAAAAAAAATTGTCATTAATTTCAGGAATAGCAAACCCTGCTGCGTTTTGTTTGTTTGTTTTTCGGCGATTTGCAGCGATTATCTGAACGAGTCTTTATTCTCGACGTTGGTGGCGGTTTGATAGAGCACAATGAATGACGCAATACTATAAATAAGACGAACATAATAACAAATTACCCTTATTGACAGTTGATTTGAGGGGAGGGGGGCATTCCTTTGGGTACAAGCAAATATTCACAACAATACTGATTAAGAGAAAAGTGTTTTTAAAGATACAAAGCTCAATTTTAATCTTTAATAAAACAACAACGATAAGACCTCAGCCAAAGCATGGCAAACACTGGAAGCGCAAAACGACATTAACAATAATCACTAAAAAGTAAGTTTTTACTTTAAAGAAACACGTGCCTTACTATAGTACTCTTGTGAACTTTTGTTTATATGTACGTGTACTACGACTGTTCATTACTAAATGCTTCGTTGATAATAACATCATCTTTTGGTTTCTTCTCGTTTCTCCTGCTTCTTCATTTTGAATTATATTAAATTTCAGTTTAAACTGAGAGTCTCATTATTAATGATTCCGTTTCAATATAATTAGCATGTACAAGATATGCCTACATATACATTCAATCATTGTACAGTCACGTTGTATACAAACATTTTCGTTCTTTATGCACATGCGTGTTGTATGGCATCATCTCAAATCTCACAGAAAGTATTTTTGTACAGTGTGCCAAAACGCAGTTTTGTACGGCCTACTTCGAAACATCGGGTCATCACGTCGGGTCGGGGGTCGCGTTATCTCATCTACAAAATGGCCGGGTCAAATTTTCCAGACACTTTGTGAAGCCCCTGCGGCAAATCTACGAAAGGTCACGTCCTTAAAGTTGATATTCTAAGACAATCCCAAATATTGAGATAATTACATCAATAGAAAGCTTTTAACCCCCAGAATAACACTAAATGGTGTCCAACTGACCGAAAACAAGTTTAGAATGGTGAATTTATGCGAGTAAACTCTACCAAACTATCTACTCTGAAACCCGGAAGTGCATGCAGAGTCGGGCCTCTATCCGTGACGTCACGAACGGGACTCATGGGCTCAGTGAGAGTGAATGGCAGTGATATCCCTACGTAAATGCTATCCTGTCAGAGCTTATATTTGTTGCCGTTAAGGAGTATATTTGATGGATTTTCTGTTTTCATTTGAATGAAGAATAACGAAGCAACATTTTCCAGTCGCTAATTTCTTTTTATATATATATCCTCATATTCACCTATTTGGTAGAGATTTAAGACGACTTTACTGCTTGGGAAACAAGGTTAAATCATGCACGTATGAATAGGCGAATGCATTTTCTTGTCATCAGATAAGGTACTGGAGCAGTTTTGTAAAACGAATACGCCTAGAACTTTGATAATACTTATCATAGATGTGTGTGACTGCCTCAAAAAAGGATACGGTACTAGTAAAACATTTTATGTTGTAAAATATCAAACTTGAACAAGATCATGCAAGCGCGCTTCCTTTAATTATACAATTTTGACAACATCTATTGATCGAACGATATTCACCCGCGAGTAATGCGGCTCTTGCATGAACGTTCGTGAAGCGAGCAGAATCGGGAGGTAAGACCAGGCATCTGCTCTAGGCGCTGCTTGCTTGTGATGGAACGTACGTGCGCTAGTTATATGTTTATCGGCAATTGTAAGAGAATGAAAGCGACGTTACCAGCTAAGAAAAACAACTAACAAAGACTTGCTCCTGGCTACCGGTGTCAGAATTGGTAGATGAAGGATCTTCAGGGCTAAGGAAGGCGAAAGACATGGGAAAAAGGAAGAATAACCATCGGGAGATCGCTGTATCGTAATGAACTGTGCATGGGTCCACTTACCAGACAGCTACTGTTTACTCCGTGCCTTGGCCGATTTCAACTAATAGCACATCGTTGGCATGTATATGTCATCATTTTTAAAAGGGGAATTGATATTAATACTATGAAATATTAGGGGAAGGGTAAAGAATTGTACGTAGAATTATGATTTATTAGACTTTTCAGCCTTTGAAACAAAAATAAGCCGAAAATCGTATCACTCTGCACATGCTTTCTATGGAACATCCGGGTACGTGAATATACTCTTTCCCGGACGTGATGTCATAATAGTAGACCAGCGCCGTGACTGATTTTCTATGCAAAGAGAGGCGGATATTTTCGACATTTCAAATAAGGATTTCGAGTAGCCAGAATTTTGTGTGTGATATACTATGTAATTGAAAAACTTATAAATAACATATGCTTGCCGTAGGTACCAAATTAAGGGACAATAATTTGCTTAGAATATAAGCTTTAACGGGCATCTTCTCATGATCGTCCGTTTCCGTTTCACGAAACGTCGTGTAATGCGACCTGCCGACCGAACGCGATGATCCGATGATTCGAAGTAAGCCATTATGTACAATATCATCAGTGATTGCTCCTTAAAGCTTATCTGTACTAGTTTATAGGGGGATGAGACTACCCTGCAAGGTCACTGGACAGGTGGTTATCTCATCAACTCAGCTCTCAATTAACATAAGAAAAAGAGCAAATGGTCACCGATTAGGCATTGTTTTCCATATAGAGGGAGCAAGTAGTTACAAGTAGGACAGTGTGGCTTTAAAGGTGCACCGTTTGTAGCAAGTTGAGTTGAGTACATTTAGACAATGTAAAGAAACGGTTATATCAAGTTTAGGAAGATAATGGACTAATGAGAAGAAAGCTATGGTTGTGTGAAATATGATATGAAGTAGCTACTCTCTGAATCTTAAATTGGTCGATTTTTATGAGAAGGCGTTGTATTTTTTTTTTAGACAACTCCACCCTTGTATTCTATTATCGTATGTATACTGACATAAAGTGAATTTCCATTTCTCTCTTTTGAATCTTATTTCCAAGAGAATGTGTAAGCATATGGCTCCGTTTAGTCTCATTTCACAACGCCCCCTATCGTCAGAGCATGGTCAGATTCAGCAGCCTAACATGTTAGCCTATGGACGTTTTTTTTAAAAACCGTTAAAAATTCATTTTTTGTTTAAACGAAAAGCACATCCACCCGACGTACGTTATCACTAGCTCTTTCATTGGAGCTCTCATGTCTCATTGACTTTTGAAAGTTCACCCACCGTAATTTTTCAAAATAGGTTGCAAGCTCGTCATTGCCTATAATACACATGTGAAACAAGTCTAACTTTGGACTCAGTTTACCAAGCGATTTGAAGATTAAAGGTCGAGCACACGAAACATAAAAAGCATGAATTATCATAGATCACTTCTGCCTATTTCGTTTTGTCCATTTCATCCAACCCCCCACCGTAATTTTTCCATTTAGTAAAAGCAAACATTTTGCCGAGTTTAGGAAAAACATGAATATTCATGAACGGTCAGACAATACAGCCTTTTAGTACGTAACGTATAGTGAATGGGAATGTGCGATGATCCGTGTAGGAGGTAGAGGTCACACTATGAACATGACAGACAATGAAAACGGACAAAATATACAGTTCCTCATCTAAACAAAGGGACATCCCTTCACTGCTATTATGTAAAAATGTGTAGAACAGATGTCACATGCATATTCACAGGTTCTACACATTTTTACATAATAGCAGTGAAGGGATGTTCCTTTGTTTACCTGAGGAACTGTATATTTTGTCCGCTTTCATTGTCTGTCATGTTCATAGTGTCAGTGGTTTGTGCTGGCAATGTTCACGCGAGCAAAAATGAGACAATCGGAGCAATATGCCTATACTGAAAATATGTTTGTCATAAATAGCACCTAAATATCATCAAATGCGGTAATTTGCTCTGCTCTAATTAAAGACAAATAGCTGTTTTAATGAGGAGGATAAAGGAAATTGCCCGACAAAGTCATGACTGTGAAGTCAGCAGTTTGCCAATTATTTGAAGTCGTCGAACGCGCAGTTATTTTGATCTCAGTTTTCCAACTTATTTCAACCTAGTTGTTTATCCGTTTTCGTGCAAAGATTCACAAATATATTTCTCTGAGAATCACACCGATCAGCACGACATCGGAGCGAAAATAGACCGAACAAGTATGACAGTCATCACTCCGCAAGAATCGGTCGGTTTGAGTCGGTGTGTAGTCGTTAATTTTGTGGATGGACTAAACACCCCAGTCACACCGACGAAACCGACACCAGACTGAAAATAAACCGACAAAATATTATGTTATCCCGAATTGCCAATGCTCTGTCTGATATAATATGTGGGTCTGGCGTTGTGACAGAGGTATATAATATAAACACCTAAGTCTGACCGGCACCAAACCGACCGATCTATTGAGACTTTCGGTTTATGTCATCTTTTGTTCGGTCTGTCGTCAATCTGTCAGTGCGTCTCGTTGGCGTGATTGAGGTACGAGGTCTGAAAAAGAGGCATACCAGTTACCATGTTAATAAAAAAAATACAACAACAACAACAAGATTGGTCTCTGGCTTAGCCAAACTTGTTGAACCGGAGTGAGGTTGGAAGGATCGACACGAAAAATCTCAAAGTCCCTTGAAACACCTGGGTAAGGGTAGGGCTGGGGCGGGGGCAGAGATAGGGTAATTGTCTTGAGTCGATCCTAAGTTCCGTGGATTTTATTTTTTTAGTGCGGATGACCTGGGGGGAGGGGGGGGGGGGGCTTTGGCTCCCTGGCTACGCCTATAATGCTGGTAGTTTACAGACGAAATAAGACGACCCATTAAAATCACAGGGTGCATCATTCCATTTGTTTCCATAAGTACTTCGTATCAGCCCACAGTCCTCTTGAGAGCGCCAGTTGTCCGGTTGACCTGGTGACCACATGGTAAAGTCAAATGGAGTCCCATCTGTCCACTGGAAGTGTCCTTCAGTTGATGTATCATGCATTCCAAGCCACACATTAGCCATACCAGACTGGTGGACAGATATAAGGGGAGAGAGGGGGAGAGGAAGAGAGAGAGAGAGAGGGGGAAGAGAGAAGAGATAGAGGAATAGAGAGAGAGAGAAGAGAAATAGAGAGACATAATAAAGAGAAGAGAGAGAGAGAGAGAGATATATAAGAGAGAGAGAGAGAGAGAGAGAAAGAGAGAGAAATAAGAAGAGAAGAGAGAGAAAGCGATTTCAATATGAAATTTTACTCAAACGGTATACATGTAAGTAAAGAAATATTACAAAAAACATGTAGGAAACTCCGAAATCTTATGTATTTTACATAGATTTAGTATACCAGGGGGGTGTTTCACAAAGGTTTTAAGTCAAACTTAACTCTAAGTTGGACTTAAATATTATGGAGAGCCATTTGTAGCCTTAAAATAAATATATATTCAAATAAAAAAATTCAAGTATTTTAGACTTTCATAAATTACACATCAAGAACAAGAAACCTCCTTGATAATAGAAATAATAGAAAATATGAATGATTTGAATTAACATTTTAAAATAACTTTTACAGAATAATTTCAAAGATGCTAACCGCTTTCCATAATTTTTAAGTCCAACTTAGAGATAAGTTTAGCTTATGATCTTTGTTCATATTAAAGGGAAGTCCATCCTGATATCAAGTTGGTTCTAATAATATAAGCAGAGAGCTGAGAGAAGGATTTCCGTGAAAGTTCGAACAAAAACAGATTAGAAAATAAGAAAGTTTTGAATTTTTGAAGGTGCGATCATTTAAACACAAATTGGCAACTATGTGACGTATCTTGCCAGCTCCCCTTCCATTTGCCCTGTACTAAAAAAAAATCCCCTACATAAGATTTTTAATCATACATTCAGTCTAGATATAAATATTGCAAATAATGTTTTTATACGTGATACAAATCCATACTGTCATAAACGATTAAGAGCTACATTTCGAAATGTTGTCTCTCTAATTTTCCCCAGGATGGACTTCCTCTTCAATATCACCACCATCAAAACTTGTATTTTCAATTACATATCCGTTTCTGCTTAAGAAATGTTTTGTCTGTGGCTGTAATATCAAGTAATCTGCTTACATGACAGTCGTTCTTCCGCAAATAATTTAATAATGTTTTATAATGTTTGAGGAGATTTAGTATTTGTGACAGTTTATCATTTCGTTTTTTGAAAATAACAATTTATATTATACAAATATACACTGCCTTGAGAGGTTCTGGTTAAAACTATGCGCAAGAGGTGACTCCAATAGTACTATTGGCTGAGGGGCGCAGCCCGGAAGCAAATGGTACTTTTGGAGTCACCGAGGCCCATAGTTTAACCAGTACCTCGAATAGAAGGCATGGTATATTTGTTTTATATCCTGCATAAAAAAATTATCAAAAAAAATTAATAATAATAAAAACATTTTTGGGAGAAAAAAAAAATTTAGAACCAAAAAAATGTAAATTTTTATCTAAAAAGATTTAAAATATTTTGTTTTCAATAAATTAAGATTTGAAAAAAAAATTGATTCAATTAAAAAAAAAAAAAAAAAAAAAAATCGCATTTTTTTCAACTCCCAAATAGTAAACCCAAATAGTACTCTTATATAGTACTTTCTAAAAATAGGTCAAATATTTTTGGTCATGTGACGAGCTCTCAACCAATCAAAAGCCAACAAATTTTTGACGCAGGATATAAATATATATATATGTATTTGCTTATTTATAATTCATTGTCAGAACAATAATTATTGTACTTTACATCATTATTGTTATCGAAATACTGTCTACTTATAAGAATGCAGAAGAAAATGACTGGTTTATTAATAAAAAAATAAATTCAAAAACATATTGCATCAACAATTAATATTTTGTTATTATGATTATACTGCGGAGTAGTATACAAATATACACTTATTTTGAGAGGTTCTGGTTAAAACTATGCGCAAGAGGTAACTCCAATAGTACTATTTGCTGAGGGACACAGCCCCGAAGCAAATGGTACTTTTGGAGTGACCGAGGCTCATAGTTTTAACCAGTACCTCGAATAGATGGCATGGTTTATTTGTTTTATATCCTGCATCAAAAATTTAGTTTATATTTTAAAAAATATTTAAAAATCAATTTAAAAAAAAAAAATCACATTTTTTTTCAACTCCCAAATAGTACTCCTAAATAGTACTCTCATATATTACTTTCTAAAAATAGTTCAAATATTTCTGGTCATGTGACGAGCTCTCAACCAATCAAAAGCCAACAAATTTTTGATGCAAGTTTAAAGACTATTGGTAAATCATAGTAAAGAAAGAAAAGAAAAAAGCGAAGGAAGGAGAGATATGCCATGACTGTACCTCTTTCTTCCGGGAAGTTTCGAAAAGAGTTGCGACGAAGTTGTGTTCTGCTTCAGAATGGATGGAAACCAGATGACCCAAACTATCTATGACTGCTCCTCCACTGCCGAGAGAGGGCACGCTGTAAGTCTGACAGTGGTTCTCTGCATCCTGCCATGTCGTGTTGGAGGCGAAGAATCTAAGTTGGGCAAAGGGAAATGAAAGTTGCACCGTACTTGGAAGGGATGGAGGTTTGTCCTCATTAAGTTGACTCCTACACTTAGTACAATCTTAACATTAAGGCCAAATAAAAACAAAACATGTTAAGCGTCCTGTTTTTTCGAAAAATAGGAAGGAGGAGGCCCTTTTTTTCCCTTTTTTTTCCTTTCAAAATGGCCGCTCGGTACATTTTCCCCGAAAGTCAGGCTATTTTTTTAAGATGGCCGCCGACATTTTTTCATTAAAAAAAAAAAAAAAAAAAAAAAATCAGAAATAGCTCCATTTTAGCAGTGTTTTTCATGTTTAAAAAAAAAAAAAAAAAAAATCCAAAAAAAATCCAAAAAAAAAAAATCCAAAAAAAAAAAAAAAAAAAAAAAAATAGGAGGCGGCCCCCAAAAAGGAAGCCGGCGGGGACGCTTAACATTCATATTTTTTTTCATGGCCTAATCATTGATTTATACCACTAGCTGTACACAAACGTAACCTAAGATCAATTGCAACCCTCGCCCTAACCATTATGGCCTACCTTTGGCGGAGTAAAGCCCAGAACAACCAAATCATACTCAAATACAGTAGGAGGGCATTAATACCCCGAAACCCCGGATACCCCGGCATCAAGATAATTTTCCCCATGCATGATTTCATCTCATCTATATATGGCCCGTAGTCCAAATTTGCTTTAAAATGTAGTACACTATAGCTGAAGTAATATGCTCGTTACATAACAAATACACGAACACCCGTCCCACACACAAAAAAAGGAAGGAGAAGAAACAGAAGAAGGAGAAGAAGAAGGAGATGAAGAAGGAGAAGAAGAAGAAGAAGAAGAAGAAGAAGAAGAAGAAGAAGAAGAAGACGAAAAAGAAGAAACAACGCAAAACAATAATGTCAATGCTAAACAGAAACGAAAAACACAATATCCCAACTATGACCATATTTTACCACCATGAAGGGATGTACGACACTCCTGCGACCATTGATCAGCGGGAATTTTCTACAACTAACCGAATAGTAACTTCCACATCACCGGACCCAACATTATACCTAACCGCTAACCCTAACCCTACCCTAACCCGGCCTAACTCTCTACATCCCCTAGCAAAATTAATGTCTGATCACCCCAAGTAAAGGAAAAAAAAGTTTCTGAAAAAGACAAAACGAAAATATAAAATAATGATAACTGTTCATTGGGAAAAAAAAAAATAAATAAATTAAAAACCTGTAACAATGCTGTCCGAAAGCAGTCCAGAAGGTCGGACAGCAACATCCAGCTCGTACCCCGGTAGGACAGGCCGTCAAGACGATGGTCAAAGAGATGAAAACCAGCATGGACTTTCGATAAAACTCCAACATTATACTTTAAGCTACTTCTGCTTCTCTTGCCAAACGTAGCCGCTCAGTTGGTTATTATTGAGCAGCTTTGAGTTCATCTACACAGCCGTTTTTATTGGAATGTATTTGCGTTGTCGTGAAAGTCTGTTTAATTCTGGAAAGTTTCGCTGTGTCTGCATGGCGATATATATATATCGCAGTGATCCGTCTCCCAAAGGAAGTTCCGCCTCTTTAGGAAGAACCCGGCCACAGAACGGTATTCATAAGTTTACACACTATGGAATACTCCTTTCATTTCAATTAGGCTTCCTATATAAACAGGATGTTTTTATATGTGTACTCCTCCAGGCGCGTACGCAAGGGGGGGGGGGGGGGGTTGAACCCCCTCAAACTTTGTTTATGTGTGTGTTTTGGAGGAACCCCCCCCCTCAATTTTTAATTTATTATTATTTTTTTGTTTAGATGTGGTAATGGGTGACCCCAAAAAGATGACCTTACTCCCGCCCCCCCCCCCCCCCCCAACGAAACGAAATATCGATCGGCCAAATTTTCAAATTTTGGGACACAAACAAATAAAAAATGTGCTCTTACTGAATGGCTGAGTCGATGCGAAATTTTCAAATTTTAAACTCCCCCCCCCCCCCCCTTCTAAAAAATCCTGCGTACTGCACTCATCTATAATGACTTCCAGAACAAAGGTCGCAAACTACGGGAAACAAATAATCATAGTATACCAGTCCTTTATTGTAAAGCAAACTTGTATTTGTTATGTGGAATAAAGTCTTTTCTACATTAAACACTACGTTGAAAGTCCCCCCACAAAAAAAAACAAACAAAAACAAAAACAAAACAAAAAACACAACAACAACACATAACATTATAATAAACGACAGAAAAAATAACAAAACAACAAAATACATTGTAATTGACTAATAAAACACAATCCTTTATAGATCTTACTCATATTTTCTCTACATTTCTTCCCCGTCCTCCTCCCTCCCCACCCCGTCATCCTCTCTCTGTCTCGCGATCGTGTCTATAAAATTTCCCTTCTTGTGCGGCGTTAAGCCTGCTAGCGCCGCAACTGCAGCCATATATAACCCTACTCTGGAGCAGGGCCAGCTTAGCTCGGAAACTTGCGACCTAAAACCTCTCTTAGCCCCGCAAAAACCAGGTGTGAAAACGGTATAAGACGAACATAATAATGGTCCAACTTGATTGATGCAATTAAAATTAATTAGAGGTGGGGAGGGGGGGGGCATTTCTTTGAGTATAAGCAAAATATTCACAACAATAATGAATACAAAAAACGGATAAAAGTGATGTAGGAAGATAAAGCTCAATTAATCTTTAATAAAACAACAACAACAATAAAGAGACCTCTGCCAATGCATGACAAACACTGAAGTGCAAAACGACTCTTACAACAATAATCTCCGAAAAGTAAGTTTTCATTTAAAAAACAATATTACGTGCCTTGCTAATTGAGACTCCTCCAAAATGTTTTTATCTGTGTGCGTTCACTATAACTGTGAACTACTAAACGCTCCGTTGATAACCACATCTCTTTTGTTCTCTTCCTCATTTCTCTATTTCGAATTATGATATTTAACGAGATTTAATGAAATTCTCAATGATTCGTTTTCAATATCTGAGCATGTACACAAATAGGCCTACATATTATTAATTCAATCATACATTTTCGTTCTTTATGCACATGCGTATTGTTGTATGCCATCATCTGAAGTCTCACTGAAAGTACTTTTGTTGAGTGTGCCAAAACGCAATTATGTACGGCCTATTTCAAATCATCGGGTCATCACATCGGGTCGGGGACTCAGTTCTACATCACCACTTCACAATAACTAAAAGACAGAAACACAATCAATAAAACTTATCTGACCTTTATGAAATAGCACCAGCTTTAACATAGCTTCAACTTTATTACAGTAAGTTCTCAATTCTCAAATATTCAGAAAGATACATTTTACTTCAGCGATGTTTCAGTGTGTAGGTGTTTATCTTTCCATTCAAACAACTCTGCATAATTTATTTATAATTCAACAAAATGTTTAAGATGTTACGTTATAGATTGATGCACAATATTTTGATTATTCAAACTCAATTACTCATGGCATGAATCTCAAAGAGTTACGAGTTTGCGAGAGAGTAAGAAAGTGGATGCATCTCTCCCATAATCTTACTTCTGAGTTGATTTATTGGATTTTTATTTTCTTGTATTCTTGTAGGCATTTATTCATCTTCGAGCATTCATTTACAGACCAGCAATGATATGAAATGTGGTTTAGTTCTGGAGAAAAAATATTCATCCAGATGTAAGTAAGTTCATTATGTAAACTTTTGGTCCCACTGCTAGGAATAATTTTCCACTGTACATTCCTTCATGCCCTTCAGTTGGATCTTACAAGAGAAAATCAAAGACGTAATACAGTCTGTGCAATTTAAAACATGGTACAAGCAGAAAAAATATTTATACATGATATGAACTTTCACAAGGCCTTTGCTCAAAAAGCAAGTATGTTTATTTGGCATCATGTTAAACGTGAATGATTACTATTGATGTTGCTCCTTGAATTTAAATCATATTAATTTTATTTTGTAAGTGAAGAGTTCTGTCTCGTTTTGCGTGACGAGGCGAAGAAAAAAATCTGTTCATGCCACTTATTGCATTCATCGAAGAAATCGGTTTCAACAGTGAAAACTATGTACTGAAAAGTAAATGTAATTTGTGAGGAAGTATCAGTTAACATAATATTTATGACTTAGTAGCACCTGACATGTACAAACAAATACTAAAACATGCTTCAGTCATGTCATTATATTCTTCACAATTAATCTCTTTTTTTGGTTACAATACTGTTTGATTGAATGTGTGAAACCTTCATGAAGATTTATACGATGAATACAAAAAGCTAATAAACAATTCTCTTCGAGGGAAATACATCTGATATGATTTTGCGGAAGAAAGTTTTGTTTTGTTTTAAAGCGTAATTTGTGACAGTCGGCTGTGTGACTATATTTCGTACACGAAGCATAATGATATACATTAAATATATCAGACAAAAATTTTGCAGGGGGTGCTGCGCACCCCCTGAAGAATTTCCAGGGGTGCTGCAGCACCCCCGCAGCACCCCTGCTTCCCAGGGCCCTGGCGATGACCCGATGACTCCCACTAAGTCTCCCAGTATGTAATTCAATTCATTATGTACAATATCATCCGTGGTGGCACCTTTGTGTTAAAGTTGAGTATAAGCAGGAAATGTAAAGAAACGGTTATGTCAAGTTTTGGAAGATAATGGACTAATGAGAAGAAAGCTGTGGTTGTGTGAAGTATGAGATGACAGTGGCGGATCCAGAGGCGGGGGGCGTGTGGTAATTTGCTCTGGTCTAAAATAAAGTAAAATATGTGTTTCATGAGGAGGATAACAAAAGTTGTCTGACAATACATTACTGTGACGTCAGCAAATTGCTAATTTCAGGTCATCGAACGCGCAATGATTTTGATCTAAGTTGTCAAACTTATTTAAACTCCCTTGTTGTTTATCCGTTTTCCTGCGAAGATTCACAAAATATGTTTCTCTGATTATTATGCTATAAACGTTGATGCACCTTGTTATCAAAGATGGGTTGCCCTCTGCGCCTGAATCACACCGATCAGCACGACATCAAAGCGACAACAAGTATGACAGTCATCACTCCGCAAGAATCGGTCGGTTTGGAGTCGGTGTGTAGTCGGTTTTGCGGATGGACTAAACACCCCAGTCACACCGACGAAACCGACACCAGACTGAAAATAAACCCGACAAAATATTATGTTATCCCGAATGGCCAATATTTTGTCTGATATCTGTGGGTCTTGCGTTGTATGTGAAAGAGGTATAATACCTCAGTCTGACTGCCTACCCGACTCCAAACCGACTGATATTTTGGGACCGTTTGGTTTATGTAATCTTTTGTTGTTGTTGGTCTGTTGTCGATCTGTATGTGCGTCCCGCTGGCGTGCATGCCTGGGGTATGAGGTCTGAAATAGAGGCTTTACCGTGCAGTTACCATGTTATAAAAACACGAACAAAAAGCACAACAACATTGTTCCCTGACGTAGCCCAACTTATTAAACCGGAGGGGGGCTGGAAGTGTCGACATACAACATTACAAAGTCCCTTGAAACACTTTGGGTAAGGTAGCTAGGGCTGGGGCGGCCGGGGGCGAAGGGCCGACATACAACATTACAAAGTCCCTTGAAACACCTGGGTAAGGGTAGGGCTGGGGAGGGGGCAGAGATAGGGTTATTGTCTCGAGTCCGAAAAGCTCCGTGGAGTTTATTTTTTAGAGCGGATTACGCGGGGGGGGGGGGGGGGGGGGGGGGGGGGGCGGCCCCCCTTTGGCTCCCTGGCTACGCCTATAATGCTGGTAGTTTACAGGCGAAATAAGGCGACTCATAATCACAGCCCGCATCATTCCATTTGTTTCCATAAGTACTTCGTATCTGCCCACAGTCCTCTCGCGAGCGCCAGTTGTCCGGTTGACTTGGTTTCCACATGGTAAAGTCAAATGGAGTCCCATCTGTCCACTGGAAGTGTCCTTCAGTTGATGTATCATGCATTCCAAGCCACATATTAGCCATACCAGACTGGTGGACACAGATAAGGGAGAGAGAGAGAGAGAGGGGGAGAGAGAGAGATAGAAAAGATACAAAGAGGTAGAGTTAAAGAGATGAGAGGAAGAGGGAGAGGGAGAAAGATATAAAAAGAAAGAGAAAGAGAGAGAGAGAGAGATAAAGAGAAGAGAGACAGAGAGAAGAGAGAGAGAGAGAGAGAGAGAGAGAGAGAGAGAGAGAGATGAAGGGAAGAGAGAGCGAGAGAGATAAATAACAAAAGATATTGAACATTATACAAAAATCATGTAGGAAAACTCAAAATCTTATGTATCATTCATTTACCCCAGTGGCGCCCCCCCCCACCCCTTGAGAAAAAAATCATGTAAAAACACGTATTTTTTTTACCATTTTGGGGGTTGCCTCCCCTGGCGCTCAAGGGAGGGGGGTGCCATTTTTTTAATTTTCGAGGACCAAAAAAAAAAAATGTGCTCACTGCTTTAAAAAAAGACATAAATACATTTATACAAACATTCAAAATACATTGGGAAATATAATTCAAAAACATATTGCATCAACAATTAATATATTTTTTATTATGATTATACTGCGGAGTAGTTATATATATATGTTGTAATTTTGATTGTTGGTAAAGGAAGGAATTATATATGCCGTGACTGTACCTCCTTCTTCCGAGAAGTTTCGAAAAGAGTTGCGACGAAGTTGTGTTCTGCTTCAGAATGGATGGAAACCAGATGACCCAAACTATCTATGACTGCTCCTCCACTGCCGAGAGAGGGTACGCTGTATGACTGACAGCTGCTTTCTGCATCCTGCCATGTCGTGTTGGAGGCGAAGAATCTATTAAAGGTGAAATTCAAAGAAGATCACAAATATGCATGGGTGTCGATCCCGGGGGGGGGGTATATCCCCCCGCCCAATATTTCAGGTGGGGGGGGGGTGACCTGTACAATCATCCCCCCAAATAATTCACCATCAAAAAAAAATATCAAGAGAAAGATTAATGATGAGAGCCCGATGAGAGTAGTTAATGGTTATTACTCGCAAGATGACCATCAATATACACATTTTGCTATCTCATTTTCATAATACATACATTACGAAGTAAATGAGACAACCGTATATAAGACACGAATAAATTGAATTCTCGCTCATACGGCTTCATCAGGATTATTGATGAATTTATTCAATTTGTTCATTCAACAGCATCATAGAAATGCAGTGCGTCAAATGCAAAGACGCAGCGTTAAAAAGCAACGAGCTAAATGTTAAGCGCGAAGCGCAAAAGTAGCAATCTGCAATGCACATCTGACAATCCTGGACAGCTAGTGTAAACATAGATGAACTCTGTGACGAATTTCTGATGAGATCGGAGACAAGGAGAAAGCTTCCGCGCTTTGCGCGGGAGCGGGAAAACTGAATTCAGACAAGGATTTAGAGTCGAGAATAGTACAACGAATCGTTTTCTTTCTTTAATAATCTAATAAAACGTCAAAGCTTCCGCGCTTCGCGCGGGAGGGGGGGGGGGGGGGGGGGGGGGGGGGGGGGGGGGGGGGGGGGGGGGGGGGGGGGGGACTGAATTCAGACAAGGATTAAGAGTCGAGAATAGTACAACGAATCGTTTTCTTTCTTTAATAATCTAATGAAAGGTCAAAGCTTCCGCGCTACGCGCGGAGGAAGTGAAACTTGATTCAAACAAGGATTACGAGTCGAGAACGGTCCAACGAATCGTCTTCTTTCTCTGATAAATTAATGATACGTCAAAGCTTCCGCGCTTCGTCCCCTCCCTGCACTCTACCCCCTAGGGAGCGCGCTTCGCGTGCTCACTACCGCCCCCCCCCCCCCAAAAAAAAAAAAAAAAATAAATAAATAAAAAAAATAAAAAAAAAATAAATAAATAAATAAATTTAAAAAAAAAAAAATAATAAAAAATGAAATGAAATCTTGGCTACGCGCTTGGGGAGGGGGTGCAACCTGCCACACGCTTCTACCTCTTGGTTGCTTAATTTGTTGATCCATTGCCGAAAATATTTTGGCACCTATCATTCCCCCCCCCCCCCCCCCCCAACCACGGATACAAATCGACACCCTTGCAAATATATCAACTATGTATCAATAGAAACTGGTAAGCTAACAGATGGCCATCGGACACCAAAATAAAATAAAATAAAATAAAAACATGCGCGGGGTTTAGAGTGAGGCAATAGATTATACATTTAACCTGGCGGTAGTGAAGTAAGAGAAAGAACTCAAGAGAAGATGAAAACACAGGCACCGAAAATGTGTGAGATGTCATGGGACATTGTCTGCTTGTGCAAGTCATGTCCATACTGTGATCTCACACATTTCAGCAGCGTTTTGTAATTCATAATAATCAGTACTTCGAATGTTACCAAGTATTGAATTTTGATAACCTTGTCGAATCAAAGTTTCAACTTTGCAATGATGAAAATAAAGTTAGTTTATAAAAATCAATGAATATCTACTTTAAATAAAAGTGGAGCGGGAGGAGGGCAAACGGAAATAAAAGTTGTACCAAACTTGGAAGGGGTGGGGTGGTGTTAAAGAACCTGTCAAGTATAGTGGTCCTCATGAAGCATAATAATTTAACCCCAACTTTAAGCTTTCCTGCGCTAAAAGTGAAATCTTAACTTAAATCTGGGAACGAAATCACTAAACCTAAGCGTGCCCCCCAAAATTGTCAAGATCGGTTGAACTTTTTTAGACCCCTCCCCAGGACGTCGATCGATTACATGTATGTCCCCCCCCCCCCAAACATCAAACTCTGGCTACGTCCCTGCCCCAGACGTATCTGATAAAGACCAAATGACACCAAAAAAAAACACGCACACACAATATATTGTCATACAGAAGAATATTAACAGGAAGAAGAAGAAAAGAAGAAGAAGAAGAAGAAGAAGAAGAAGAAGAAGAAGAAGAAGAAGAAGAAGAAGAAGAAGAAGAAGAAGAAGAAGAAGAAGAGAAGAAGAAGAGAAGAAGAAGAAGAAGAGAAGAAGAAAAAGAAGAAGAAGAAGAAGAAGAAGAAGAAGAAGAAGAAGAAGAAGAAGAAGAAGAAGAAGAAGAAGAAGAAAATACAAAAATAACGTCCACGCAAAATTAAAAAAAATGAAAATATAACATTCCATGATATGAACATTTTTACCATCAGGAGTGGACATGCGTGCTCCTGCGACCATGCAGCGGTCATTTTCTACAACTACCAACATCACCGGACCCAACATTCCCCCCCCCCCCCCCCCCCGGCCCCGCTGGATCCGCCACTGCAACATACCTAGCCCTAACTCTAACGTTAACCTAAAACCTAAAACCCAACCCTAACTATCTTCTTTGTAATAATTAAATCCCCAAAAAGAAAAGAAAAAAAAGAGGAAAAAATGAAAATCTACATACAGTATTAAAATAATGATAACTTTATTGGAAACGCTTCTATTTTACCTGTAACAATGCTGTCCAAAAGCAGTCCAGAAGGTCGGACAGCAACAGACAGCTCGTACCCCAGTAGGACAGGCTGTCATGACGATGGCCAAAGAGATGAAAACCAGCATGATCTTTCGATGAATATCCATCATAATACTTTAGGCTATTTCTGCTTCTCTTGCCACAACGTAGCCGCTCAGTTTTAGATGATTGAGCAGCTCTAAATCACCGTTTTTCTTGGTCTAATTTTGGCGTTGTCGTTGCCGTGAAGGTCTGTTTAATTCTGGAATAGTTTCGCTTTGTCCAGCAACATCGCAGCTCCACTTCCGATCTGCCAAAGGACGTTCCGCCCCTATAGGGATACCCGCCCACAGATTAGGATAGATTAAATAACTGTAATAGGATAGTTTTCCTAATTTCACAATCTGAAATAGTTCTTTTTATTCAACTAGTATGAACAGGATGTTTTTACCAGTGCACTCATATCTCTACGACTTCCGGAACAAAGGTCTAAAATAACGGGAAACAAATTATCAGTCCTTTGTTTTTAAAGGAAACTTGTATTGGTATATAAGGAATAAAGACTTTTCTTCTTCCTTATTAGGCTACGTCAACCCCCCCCCCCCCCCCCCAAAAAAAAAGAACATTGTAATTCACAAATAAAACTCAATCCTCTACACATCTTACTCATTAATTCCCCCCCCCCCTCTCTCTCTCTCTCTCCCTCTCTGTTTCCGTCTCGCGCTCGCGCTATGAAAGCTCCCTCCTTAAGATTTGAAATTTATAAGGCCGCCATTCCTTCTTCATAATTTACGAATCTCTACCTTCCTTTCTCTCTCTCTCTCTCCCTCTCCTTCCTCCTGTTTTATATCTCTTTCTTTCGTGTTGCTTCTGTCTATACATTGTCCATAAGAGTACAGTCCATGGATTACACTGAATATTCTGGAGACAGTAAATACCAAGCATCATGGTAAAGAGTCAAGATATGACAAGAAAAAAAATTGTTTACAATTTCTGGGAACAACAAGGACAATTACAAGTGCATAGACATACAGTCATGTATATGTACATTTTATTAAAAATAAACATCAGTAGTTCATCCAATCAAAGTTCAGACAATAAAGTGCACAACTATTTAGGAAGCCCATCCAAGTCGAGAGGGGACTTTCATTAGTATACTTTAGGAGCAATATTGAACACTGTTTACTTTGGAAGTTTCCTTGGTGCAACTGGCCTTCGTTTTTTTGCCCTGAGACTGCATCAAAACTTTGACGTTACCTCATCTGAGACGGAACATGGTCTACATGCATGGTTTCTAGCACAGTATACTCAGGGAGAAAGGGAGAGAGAGGTACATGAACACGATCACAATCGAACACAATTTTCGAAAAAATCAACCCATTCACAAGAGCATTTTCAATACCCCTAATGTACATCACAAAGAAATCAAATTGTATTACTAATACTTTATTGTCATGCTCACACAATTTTCAATGGTGATGACCTAGGCTAATGAATTTGCCTTACCGGTACATTGATTTTTCAAAAGTACTTGCTAGTTGTGTTTATGGAGAAATATCAAGAGATGGGAAAAGACTAAAAGTTAAAGAGAAAGATAATGAGTGAGAGGGAGAGAGGAAGAGAAGAGAAAGAGAGAGGGAGAGAGAGAAAGATGACAGGGAGGGAGAGAGAGAGAGAGAGAGAGAAAGGGATAGAAGAGAAAGAGAGGGAGAGAAGAGGGAGAGAGAGGGGAATAGAAAATGGGAGAGAGATAGAGAAAGGGATAGAAGAGAGAGAAAGGTATAGAAGAGAAAGAGAGGGAGAGGGAAAGCGAGAGAGGGGATATTTTTTGAAAAACCACAATATTGCCAGAGCTCAAGATCAGCTGGATCGTTAATTCTAAAGAACGTAGTTATATGAAGCACTCACTTCAATAGTTAGACTAAAGATGGGTCTTGATGAATAAAATTATTATGGACTCAGACCATTTATGTGCTTTCAGGCAGACAAAAAAAATGCAACAAAACAACACAGTTCACTGAATGCCTGTCCCTGACAAAATAGATTAATCACAATGACCCGACATTCACCAACTTGAATCTGAATCAAGAAACAATTCTAAATTATGCAAACAGAAGTCCTGGGCCCCGTCTTACAAAGAATCTATATCAATTGCAACTATGTACATAACAGATAGGAGACTGCAAACTTGCGATTGATTGGAAGACGTGCGATTAATTTGGATCAATCGCAACTCTTTGAAAGACTGGGTCCAGGTTCAATAAAGATGGATTGAAATCATCTCGTCAATCAAAATTGAATGTCAGTTGTAACTTGACAGAGGGATCCTGAATCTTGGCAGGATAGAATGATTTAATGACTAACAGATAATCTGTTATACCTTCTTAAGATGGAGATCTTCACTGACTAGATGTAGGGAACTCAGAAATATGAGCAAATAATGATCAAAATTAATCCTTGTTTAAGTTGTTTCAGGTAACAATTTAATACTAGATGGTTGCAATTAATTACAGACTATCTTTGGTACTAAGGACACACATGACTGTTTCAAACAGCGATTCCACAAACTCATAGGCCCATATGTTACTAAAATTTAAACATGACACTGTGTTAAAGCTCAGTCTTGAGTTTAAAAAAGAAAGTTAGACCGAGGTCAACAGATTTATCCTTTGGTTTTAAGGAAAAGTCCACCTTGATATTAAATTGGTTTTCATAAAAGCAGAAAAATGAGAGAAACAAATTAATGAAAGTTGAAGCAATATCTGATAAAAAACAAAAAAGAAATTAATTCTTTAAGTTGTCATCAGGGGGGAAAAAAAATTGCAATCTGTGACGTATCTCGCGAGCTCCTTTTTAATTTACTCTGTATAGAATTTTTCATAAACTTTCATTGTCAGTTGGTGATGACAGAATAGACTTGTTTCATACAGGGGTTGTATCAAAACTTTTTTGCAATAATTTTATTTGGGGTGAAAGTATGATCGAAAATTTTCTTAACAGAAAATATAAATCTTTGAAGTTTTTATTATACAGGGCAAATGGGAGGGGACCTTGCAAAAAAATGCAAGGTCACAAGTTTCATTTCCTTTGACAAATATTTCTCACAGTTGATAGTCATGTAACTAAAGGTCACCTGTTTAATTTCTTTTGTCCTACTGTTCTCTTTAATAGATGAAGGTCAGCTTAATCAAGGTCACCTGTTGAATTTACTATGACCCATTGGTCTCATAACTGAAGGTCAGCTCACTCAAGGTCACCTGTTTAATTTATGATGACCCATTGTTCTCATAACTGAAGGTCAGCTCACCCAAGGTCGCCAGTTTAATTTACTATGACCCATTGTTCTCATAACTGAAGGTCAGCTTACTCAAGGTCACCTGTTTAATTTCTTTTGTCCCATTGTTCTCATAGCTGCAAGTCTCAAGGCTTCATCATCTGACGAGTCATTACTCTGACCTTCTCCAGTCTCAATGTCACAAGCCTTAGGGTTCACCACTGATTGATGTCTCTTCTGTATTCTTTCTCTCATTTCCTTTTCTTTCAATGTCAAATCTTCTTTCTCTCCTTCCTCGACAGAGCTTGAATTTGAACTTTCGCTTTTCTGATGCCTTCTCCTCTTTTTCTTCCGCTCTGATGACGAGTGTCGTTTGTGCCTTGATTTGTTCTTTGATTTGGCCTTCTTTTTCCTATGGCCTGCTGATGTCAGTTTACCGTCAGTAGGCAAAGACTTATCGTTTGATACATCGTACTTTTCCTCATCTTTGAAAGATTGACTCTCAATCAATCCGTCATCTTTGAGATCTTGTCGAGGAGAACCTTCTACCTTTCCTAAGCCATTCGAATTCAGAGGTTTGCTCAGTTTGGGTTGGCTAGGCTCACGATCACTACCCGAATGACTTTCAGATTCACCACTGTCCTGCTCAACACTGGAGCTTCTTTGCTTCTTTCCTCTCTCCTTAATTCTACTCCTACCTCTATCAGTTGTCCTCTCCCTACTCCTACTTCGACTCCTCCTTTCTTTCTTAACCTTTGACCTGACGTCATTATCCTCTAAACTAGAGCTTCTCCTCTTCCTTTTTCTCTCCCTACTTCTACTTCTGCTTCTAGTGTGATCATACTTCCTATCTTTGGTTTTTCTTGAGCTACTATCAGGCAACTGCCTCTCTCTACTTCCACTTCTACTTCTTCCGTCACTATCCTCTCCGCTGCTGCTTCTGCTACGATCTCGTCTCTGGTCCCTCATTCTTCTGCTATTCCTGTCCAGGCTGCTACTCCTTCTCCTTGTCCTCTCTCTGCTTCTACTCCTGTTACTTCTATCCCTACTTCGACTTCTCCTGTTAACCCTCTCCCTGCTTCTGCTGCGCCTTTGTGAGAAACGCCTGCTGCTTCTTTCCCTACTCCTGCTTCGCGAGCGTCTTCTTGAGCGTCTGTAATCCAACCTACTCCTACTTCTACTTCTGGAGCGTTGCCTGAACTCCCTGGCCTGCCGATCTCTCCTCCTCCTCTGGTCGTCATGGCAATGACGTGGTGTTCTGGGAGGACGGTCTTGATCGGCATCCGAGAATTCACCTCTAGGATTGTGGAACACGTGAAGGAAGTTACAGTGCTTTCCCCTGGGACACTTGTCCCGATGGAAGAGACCTGGAAGGAAGCAGAACACAGATTAAAATGGTGTTTGCGCTCTCTGGAAAACCCTGGACAAAACTGTCATGCTTTCTTTCTTCACCATATTTTTCCAAGATATCTTTGGTCTTCCTTTCCGTCACATGCCATCCCCTTTCAGATCCCATGCTCTTTTCACAGGTTTATCATCTACCCTTCTCAAAACATGACCCGGACAAGATATCAAATGAACAAAATAGAAACAACACACAAGGGTAAACAAAATTGTACATAACCCCCAAATTATCAAAGCTGTAAACGATACTCGGGAAGCCACAATTCACCCCAGACATGGGCTAGTACAAGATGCTTATATAATGCAAGTTGCAGTCCTACTTATTTTTGCTTGGAGTTTATGCTTATCAGCAAAACGGGCATGCCAGCAAATGTGCCAATCAGTTCTCATGGCATACAAAAGGAACTACAGACTTTGAGATAGCCAGAAGGACATACATCTGTATGTTCAGGGGTGATAGTGAGCACTAACAAAACAAAAGGATTCGGGGGAAAATGGCATCTAACAACTTTCACCATCTTTTAAGTAAGAAAATTCGGGAAAAATCAGGAAAAAATTGGGAAAAGGAAAGGGGAAAAAAAATCAAAAAAAAATCAAAAAAATCTGGGAACTGATTTAAATCGGGTAATTATCAGCCTGGTATGTTAAAGATAATAATCAATAAGGGTCCGAATAAAATCTTATCGAGCCAACAACCAAATAAGGAATGCTCGCCTTGAACAGGTTTTAAATTCTTACCGCATATTGCTGGTTTCCATCTGCTGACAGGGCAGTATCGTGGATCAAGCTGCTTCCCGCCGTAGAAACGCCCAGCGAAGACCTGAGCGGCCTTAGCAGCCTCCTCCTCACTACGATACTGGACATACACATTCCCTCGAAGATGGGGCTCCCAGTTACGACATACCTACCATCAAAGAAATATCAATCAAAATTTTGGATCATTTGGTTTGTTTGTTTTAACTGACTGCTATTAAAGAAAGCATGCTTGTGCTTGTAAGTAAACAAACAGATGACCTATGGCCTTAAGCCCACTCCAAATGACTTGGTAATGAGGATTAATGCCTTACCAAAGGACACTAGAGCATTAACTTGGTTTCAAAACCAGGACCTCCTGGTTACGAGACCATTGCTCTACCACTGACCCATCACGCCCTCGAAAAGCAGAGAAAGCCAGATGGTATAATATACACAAGAGTCAGGCACGATTTTACTCTTTGAGTAATAATAATAAAATGTTATCAAACTATTTTCCATCCTAGCATGCAAGTAGGATGTAATGGGATTCATGCAAGTACTCGTTGGGCAAAGTTTTGATCTCGTACCATCTTGTATAACATAAACAAGGCCATTACATTCTATTTTAAATTCCCAACCCAAAGATATTCACCTGTCCTTACATGGTTTAAAAGGATATTAATATTTTATCGTTTTCAAAATGTCTCCCTAAAAATGAATAATCAAACGAGATACTATGTTTCTTTATTATCTAAAAAATTATAAAACTTGTTGTTGATGTAAGAATCTTTCAATTTCTGCTGTGACTTAAATTTTCATGCTGTTATTTGCTAAAATACTTTGAGGTTCCATTTGACTGTAAGAACTTTCCAAAGTTCCATGACTGTTCTACTTTTTAAATATTTGTGTTAACACCACTGCACCTGAATAGAATCTGCATTGATCTCTAAACCTAAGACAGTATCTTCATCATTCCATGTTCACATACAGTCAAACCTATCTACAGCAACCGCCCAAGGGAAACAAAAAATGTGCTTGTTGTAGACAGGTTCCTTTAGTACATTTTTCAAAAAGAAACAATTTTCAAGGGAAACAAAAAATGTGCTTGTTGTAGACAGGTGGTCTTTGTAGACAGGTGGTCACTAAAGCAGGTTTGACTGTACAAACAAACAAATGGACCCCTTACCTTCAACTGCACAACCTCTCCATACTCCCTGAACTCGGGTAGGACATCCTCGTAGAACTCATGAAAGTTTAGGTAGGCCGACTCCTCATCACATTCCAAACCAACGTCGGCATCGTACTCATCCTTGAAGTCGGGACCGAGACCAAAGTTTGTATACATCCCGGGTATCATGAGGGTGGTGCCTTGCTCCGGATAGGGGTGTGTCCGCGAACATCTACAGGAACAAAACAAAGACATGAATCGGTCAATTTGTTAGCGAGGTTCTGAAACATCTCTTGGATGATCGGTCTGCCCTTCTACCAGCCAAGAGTAGTCTTCAGTAGTCTTGGGTTACAGCCCAGGGGGGTGTTTCACAAAGATCCTAAGTTGAACTTATCACTATGTTGGACTTAACAATCATGGAAAGCCATTAGCATCTTTGAAAATACTTTGTAAAAGATATTTTAAAAGGCATAAAATGTTGATTTAATTCATTCATATTTTCTATTATAGAGGAGATTTCATGTTCTTGATGTGGAATTTTAAAATAGTCTAACATACTTGAGTTTTTTATTTTGAATACCGGTATATTTTATTTTAAGGCTACTAATGGCTCTCCATAATTTTTAAGTCCAAATTAGGATCTTTGTGAAAGACCCCCAGGAGGCTGATAGCTCACAAGACTTACAACCCTTTAGACGATATTGATCTCATCGGTCTTTCAAGCCACTTTTGCAGAGGGTTTACTAGAGCAGCGTTTTTCAACTCTTTTAAAGCCCCACTGCACTCCTTGCTCCCTCTATATAAAAAACAATGCCTAATCGGTGACCATTGGTCCCCTATGATCCTCTTTTTCTTATGTTAATTGAGAGCTGATTTGATGAGATAACCACCTGTCAGTGACCTTGCTGGGAGGTCTAATCCCCCCTGGCCAAACTAGTGCAGACAGGCTTTAAGGAAAACAAAGTCTTGCATCATCCCAATCCCAAATACATCACAGAAGATTCATTTTGCTTCTCTCTTGCACTTGTCAAGTACCACATAAGTACGGGCACATTCCCTTATATATTTTGTGAGCGAGCCACTTTTCAGAGGGTTTCACTAGACCAATGGCCCATGAGACCAATGACCCACAAGACTGACATTTTTTATCTTCCCTTATAGGCTGCATTTCGTTGTCTGAGGAAGGTAAATTAAATATGTTATGAGAATGTTTTTTTCAGTCAAATGAACCTCTTTCAGGTTCTCTGCTTGCATAACCATAGTGGGTAAACCAACATATATGCTCCAGCTCAATTGCTCTGAGCTTTATTTCATCAAGGATGTAGGGTTAGGGTCTGTGATGCAATCAAGATTCAGGCTAGGCTTAGCCAAGGTCAGACTAACAGTTGAAGTAAGAAATGTAGTTATTGTAGGAAAGTGACCGCACAGCAATTTTTGCTGAGAGATGCATGCTGTAGATGAAATAGACCAGTTCACAATTAGCACATGTCCCAAATGACCCCGAATATCCACAGATCTTCAAAAAAAGAAGAGGTCCCACTTTGTACATTTTGAAATAATCCCTCCCACAGCAATGGAGGTGCTACATAAATAGCCTTTGTTTCCCCTTTTCAAAGAATACTTCCACCTGTGTATCATGGAGTGCGCTGCTTGTGCAGAAATAAATAATGATTAAATAACTTTCATGAGCTTGTATCCAGTATTTTGTCTCCATGTATTTCACAATTCGGTCTGCAATGACCTTTATCTGCTCATGCTCAGACTGCAACTATGAACTGGCTTATTGTGCAGGAGACTGGAGCATGAGAGACGAGCAACAACGATCACATTATCCAAGTTTAAATCTATCCCCAGTTTCGTACCTCTCCTTGAATCTGCACGCACCGGTCTTCAAGAAGAACGAGCATATCTCTTCTTTCTTCTCTGCTCGTCCAGGTTGGTTCGAGGCCGGCTGACTGGAAGCAGGGGCCTCTGGATTACGCCATTCTTTAGATCCTTTGGAAGACTCCTGCATTGGAAACGAAAGTGAAGTGGTGAATAACTTTTATACCTTTTATAAACTCAAAGTGCACGCAGATGCAGCATTAATAAAGCCCCACCGCACTACTTATAGCTACTTGCGCCCTCTATAAAGCAAACCATGCCTAATCAGTGACCATTGGTCCCCCATGATCCTCTTTTTCTTATGTTAAGTGAGAGCTGATTTGATGAGATAACACATGTTAGTGACCTTGCAGGGTGGTCTCATACCTCCTGCAAACTAGTACAGATGGGCTTTAAGGAGTTTTTGTATTAAAGATGCATAGATTAGAGGTGGGCTCTCATGGGGAATTCTACACCATTTGGTTGTCTATTGTTTACATGATAACAGATAATGGCAATTACCAGGGTTAGCCTTTAGTTTTGATGACCAACAAGCCTTATAAATGCAATACTCAGCATTTTCCACCCATTCCCTCTTATGGTCAAGTCATTATCTTTCATTTCTCTCGCCCAGATACTTTCTGAGAGACTAGGGGGGTATTTCCTGATGGGACTACGGGTTTGCTGTTTGTGCGAGACTTTACTGATATTTCCACAAAGTGAGCGAACTATGACCTAATGCACACGGAAACTGACAACCATCTCACACCATCCATTCATTACACAGCATCATCTGAAGACCGGGAGATTATGAAAGCATGTGAAGTGAACTTCATAATTTCCTATCCTAAGTCAGTCCGGCTTGTAAAAGTCATGGGGTTCTTGACTGACCTAAAGGTTTATAATTATCATTGCAGCATGAGCTAAATCCAGGATTTTGTTTCCGAATCTGAGACAAAGATACCCAATCACAATCCTTTTAAGGAAGGTAGAAAAAAGGGGAAGAACGCTGGTTTTTTAACTACAACAATGACATAATCAGTGAGTAAAATGTAGGAGGATGTACTGAGGATATGTAGGAACTTGGGAGTAAAATTGTACTTTCTCACCTTCTTGTTTCCCAGTTCGTGGTCCAGCTGCTGAAGCACACTCTGAGTTCAAAGAGGACAGGTGAGGTGGTCACATGATCAGTCACATGATGTGAATGATCACCTGACTCCTTAGATCTTTGATCTAGATGAAATTCTGAAAGAATCTGAGTTAAGTCTGAGCATAATATTGAAATTACAAACATGTACTTGAGTTAATAGTTTGCTACTTTTTGGAAACTGCTGCACAACTTTCTCATAGGCTGAGAAATTGGGATGTCACATGATGACAGATTGTCACATGATCAAATGTAGTCACATGACATAGAATGTGATTTTGGGGAGCATATCTGAGTGAAGACAGAGAATAACAGAAATTGCATATAATTGTGAGGTTGAGACTGTTCAAGATGTTGCAGAACATTACAGATGTCCCAACGTAGCAACAAATATGTCGCTCATGACTCAAAACATGCACTGTTCTACAATTATCAACAAATTTACATTATTGCTAGGTTGAAACTTTGAATCGGTCCAATACACATTCTTCTACATACTGGGCTTTCATAGATGATCTTCCAAGGGTTTATTACTGAAAAATATTGATACAAAGTCTCTAGAGCAAACTTGTAAGTTATAATGTCAGTGGTATAACATTATAACTTGTAAGTTATAATGTTATACCACTAAAAACATTATGCCAATGGTCTCGAGAACCTTTACAAGGTGAATGTCGGGTAAGTCTGATTTCATAACGGTTGATCATGATAAAAAGATACGATTGAAGACGGTTGAGTAAAGATAGGTTGATGCGATCTCATCCTGCAGCTGCTACGTATTGAGTTGGTTAAGGAATGGTGCAACAATAGTACAGATTTACATTTACACATTTGCTGAAAAAGAAGGTTTTTAGGCTTGATCTGAAGTGTCAATCTTACAGGAAGTGAGTCAAGTTCCACAAATAATCATCCTGAATCTAAGAATGCGACAACAGCATTACAAAAAGTAAAAAAACAGATACCAAATACCTACTGATAACAAAAACAGTTAGAGATAGGATACCTGGTTTTTACCCCTTGACTCTTTAGTCTTAATAAATCTTTTCCCCAAAGTCTAAACAGAGCGACCCTCCGATTCCTGTCGGCAACGGGTTATGGAAATGCACATTGGGCTGGCTTCGAACAGCTCACCTCTTGACCTGAGAATGATTCAAGCGAATGTACCCACCGCTGACTCCCGATGAATTCTGTTTCCGAAGTCTACACAGAGGGACCCTCCGATTCCTGTAGGAAACGGGTTATGTACATACACATTGGGCCGGGTGCAAACACCCAACCTCATGATTTAAGCGAATAAACCCACGGCTGACAAACATGCATAAGAAACAAATTTATAAAAATGAATTGGATATGTAAACCGCGATGTTGACACTCAGAGTTGGGCATCTTATCACCTCTAGCTCTTGATCCTTCTTCTCCTTCTCTTCATTTTCCTTTTTCTGTTGCTCCTCCCATTCTTTTTGGATAAGTTTCTAAGGAGATAGAAAGAAACAGAGGGAAAGAAACAATGTTACTCTAATGGGTAGAAAAGCTTTTTGTAATATCCCATTTCAAAAAAGGTTCTTCCCCAAAAATTGATTATTTATGCAGGTCGATTGGAATAAATACAAATTCAGTTCAACATATAGCTTTCCCAGGTATAAAGTGTTTCTAAATTTGATTCAAATGGCCTTTTAAATTTGTTTCATTCAAAATATGAATAGGATCACACCAAACTTAGTATTTAAAAAGGCAATAACCTCTCCCCTTTTCACAATTTTTTTTTTTTTAAATTGGAATATATTGCAATTCAGCCTTTTAGCTGTGATAATATTGAATGGAAATTGAATTCAGTTGAATTAAACTTGTGCTAAAAGATTCTTATTCATAATTTGTATCGTTATCTTGATAAAATGTACAATATTTTTGTATATATGTAATAAATAAAAATACAAACAAAGAAATAAATATGTTAAAGCCCCACTGCACTAGTTTGGCCAGGACAGATTAGACCTCCCTGCATGGTCAGTGATAGGTGGTTATCTCATCAAATCAGCTCTAAATTAACATAAGAAAAAGGGAATCATGGGGGACCAACGGTCACTGATTATGCATTGTTTGCTATATAGAGGATGCAAGTAGAAATAAGTAGTGCAGTGGGGCTTTAAGGTTAATGAATTTAGTGAATTACCCGTTCTTCCATCTCCTTCTGTTTAATAGCCTCAGCAATCTTCCGTTGTTTCTCAAACTCGGCCTGCGCTAAACTCTCCCTCTCCAACCATGCAGCCTTGGCTTGAAGGCTGTGTGTTTTTAACATTGACGGAAATATAGAATTACACTGCATTAGTAATCAGACTTTGTAGTGGTTTTTATTTTACCTGATATTAGGAGCCATAGCATATAACACTGAGTTCCTATAGGAAATATATTTATTCAGATGGTCATATCTCAGCCAATACTGGACATATTCAATTGTTTTTCAACATTTGGACATTTTCTTTGATGCCCTTTCGGAAGATGAAGTTCAAATTGAGAAATTCAAAAAAATGTATTGTTATTACATCACATCTTCAGTACTCTATACCCCCAAGATAAGGGTGAACCGGTCTAAGTAAGTGCGTGCAGTTGCCATTTGTTACATAAAAATCGCTGAAACAAAATTGTATTTGTTTTTTGCAGTGGTTTTCCACATCATGTCTGAACAGGTCTTTAATTATATATTCATCCTACCTGGTTCTCTCTTCATCCTGTTCACCTTGTCCTTGTTCTGTTTCCACTTCAATCTCCTCTACGTCTTGATTATCATCATCTTCACTCTCATTGGCTGTAAAGTAGAGAGAATTTGTACCAGGTAACCAGGTTAAATCCAATACACCCTTCATCATCATCATCATAGTCTTGTATTCTTTCATGAAAGAGGACAATGTTTAACTTAACCAACTGTATTATACAAAATGTCATCCTCTATTTCAATCATTTCAGGACAGGATTTATTTGTAGGGCTAAATTGATCACATGTTGGTCTTCAAATTGACAACTATAATATCTTCTCTCATTGCTACTTTCTTTAACATAAATGTTATGTCTATGGAAACAATTTACATTGGCAAGATGTTGTAAATTCTTTTCTTTTTTTATTGGCAATTTAATACAAAAACAATGATTTCGAATCTCAACATTTTACCAATTTAAGGATTTTAGAGCTAATTTTCCTTTTTTCTAATTCCTGGCATCAAAAGTACCGGTAATATGAAGTCATGAAACAAAAATCGATACATTGTGCAAAGGTTTTTTGCTCTTTTTTCTCATGCATCAGATATAATTTTTTAGGGCAAGAGAGAGAGAAAGAGAGAGAGAGAGAGAGAAAAAGAGAGAGAGAGAGAGGGAGAGAGAGAGAGAGAGAAAGACAGAGAAAAAGAGAGAGGAATTGTTAAAAAGACCCGCACTGAATACCTGTTCTCTGAGCATCCCGAAGCTGAGCAGCTGCTTGCCTTTTCTTCTTTCGTTTCTCTTTCCTCACTTGGGCCCGGAAATATTTTCTCCTGCAAAAAAAAGAAGTAATTAATTGAGTGAATTAAGTGCTTTGACTACATACCAGTTACATGACACTCATTGCAAAGTTGCAATTACTCGCCCCACCTACATGTACCATCCCAGGTAGTACAGCTTCCTGGGTGAGCTGCTAAAGGGATTACTCCATCAAGTATCAAGTACCGGTACTACAATGCTTATTTCAGATCAAAGACTGACTTGTACAAGACTTTCTAACTGATACCATTTTTTTTTTCAGAGGTTAATTCCTCCTCTAATGAGTTATATTTTTAATATATATTAAAAGGCAACAACATAAATTCTGTAGATCCATCAGTTCTTTAATTTGTTTAATTGGCCAAATCATTTAGGAAATCAATATGTTTCCCAAAATGACACATCTAAAGAATAGCACAGCATAAGAAGATTGAGACCAAGTACCGTACAATACAGACTAAATCATTGACTTACGGTAAATGCACAGCAGTGACAACAGTAGCCATCTTGTTTGCCTGTCACCACAGCTTACAGCCATCAAACAGAGGTTCTATGGGAAGGAGGAAAAACAACAACAAATAAAAGAAGTTAAAGAACATATTATGAGTCCTTTATTCAATCCAATCCAGACCATTTACACCGAGCAACTGAATTTGGAATGTTATATAAAGTTAAAGAAATATTAATCTTGAACACCACATACTAGTACCAGCGATTATTGGAAAAAGGCACGCGCTAATTCAGCACCTTAGTACAGTATATTAAATTAATCGCTATTATCGTAAAGTACACTGTACATGTACATGTAAGTATCATATTGGCATGATATTGCTATCACCCTGGTATCAATTTTAAACATTTTGACTGATTTCAAACATTTTGACTGATTTCAAAGTGCTTTGTATGAGAAGAAAGAAGAGTCAACTAGCACTCCGAGACGCCAGTGGGCAGTTGTCGCGAGAAGGGGTGATTACAAGAAAAACCAAATTCAGGTTTTGTTTACATTACTCTTCACGCAGGGGTATGGGTGCCAATTAGGGTATGTGATATCAATATTAATTTATTAGACTATATCACATTATTACCTGGGGCCTGTTTCACAAAACCATTATTTAGTCCGACTTCTTGACTAGAATCTAAATCAGCGCTAGTTAGCTACATGTTTGTTAGACGTTTCACAAAGCCCTCTTTGCCAAGATCAAGATCAAAGACAACATCATGTCTATAGATCTATATAGAGTTGGGACGTCCCCGTCCCCGTCGTGACTCGGTTTCTCTGTTTGGCTATAACTTATTTAGTCAATGTACATTTTTGTACATAGATTCACTTCAACAGGGTTTTTATGCTTCTTTAAAAATAACTTTTCATAGAAATATGTCAATCACGTTACATGTATGTTATGCGAAACCCGCAGAGCGCTGATTAAAAAAAAAATTCTGCAAAAATGCTGACAATCCTTATTTTTTATTTTTAGGACACATTTTGTACGCGCATACGAGGATATCCTTGTTTATGCGGACGATCCGGATTCTCAGACCAGAATGCCTACTGATAATACTTAGTAATAGTCTAGGTCTAGAATCTAGACCCGTAATTTGGATTGGACTAGTTTTGGAGTTTTGCGGAAAATGAAGTTTTAATTTGCACTTCTGGGATAATGAAAGGGTGGATACTTTTTATTCATTTATATTTATAATTCTACATTCATTCAGTTTTTCATTGATATCAAGTTGTATTTTCATCGATATCGGAAAGGGTCTTTAAATTAACTTGATCATGTCAATAGGCATGCTGCAGCCTGCAGCCTGCAGCATGCAGCCACTAGCCATTGGGCAATGACTTCGCACGCCAATGAATATGAATTGCAAAGTGCAGTGCTACATGCATGTACGGTACCGTACGTAGGCTACGCGTACAAAGTGAATGAGCAGTTGCCTTTTTCACGAAACTACGGACAAATCATACTCACAGATAATCTACGTCGTCTATCCTTCACGAGTTTTCCACTTTTCACCTCTTTTGGTTCCTTTCGAAGAACATGCATACATGAATCATGAATGTTTCCTTGATGAAGCCACCTATCTTTAATAATCTATCATTCTATGCCGGATAATCACAATACACATGCAGACATGCATGGGGATTCACATGCAACTTGGTTTGAGTTCGTTGGTATTTATGGAATGCTTATTGTGCTCGTTTTCTTTAAAAAAAAATTTAATCAATAAGGCATGTAATACCGGTACATGCGCAGCTTTAATTGTATGCGTGAAGAACTGTGTAATAAAATCAAAATATTTTCCGTCGCCTTTGTCATGTTCAGAGGAATGATGCAGCTACATTTTTTTTAACCGTATCGAGTATCTTAGATAACTTAAAGTCAGATTAAGTTATACTTGGTCAAATTCTTCGACTTCGGCCTTTATCGCAGTGTCTGGAGCCCGCCCCCCTCCTCCACTTTGGGGTCGGAATGACCGCATGCGTGTTACCAAAATGTCCGGTAAAGGGGTACTTTTCACGCACCAAAGTCCGGCTCGTACATATACACAAAATTGAACACGCATATGCGTACACTAAATATGCACTGGGTGGGGGGGGGGGGGGGGCGGGGCCTGGAGTCATTTGTTTAAGATAATTAGGCCAAGTCGACAATAATTATCCACCAGTTTTATTTATTTCATTTAATTCAGTTGCTTTAAATTATGGTTCTATCGTTTTTCGGAGTAATAAATTCAAATAGAATGATTTAAAAAAAGAAGAAGCTATTTTTACTGTTTGGAGTGTCGTAGAAGTATTATATAATTATTGACCATGCATAATTTATGTAGATGAACTTGATGCTTTTAGGAATAAAAGAAAAGTGAGAAATGATAAGACTAATCGACGAATTAAAGAAAAAAAAGTCAGGTTATTATTTTGTTTAAATTGTGATGTTAAAAGCTTTTCCAAAATAGTGTCAGATATATAACGAAAATATATTAATTTGATTTTCCAGAAATGTTGTAAACTGCAAAAAAACATTTTTAATACAATACCTTTGTAACAGCTTCACCCTCTTGACAACCGACATTTTTGTCCCTCTCTCTCTCTCTCTCTCTCTGTCTTCCTTCCTCCTTCTCGCTCTATTTTTAATAATTCTCTCTCTTTCTCCGTTCTTTTCAATCTATAACCAACTCATGTGTAATTTCCTCCCGCCACCCCCCTCCCCCCGCCCCCTCGATCCCCAACTCCGAGGTCGAAGGGATCGCATTCGTCTACCAAAATCTCCGGTAAAGTGGTATTTTCGGGTCGCAATTTAAGTCCGGCCCGGGAATATTGTAAAAAAAAAGGGGGTGTATTTGACTGTTCACCCGTGGATTTTTTTAAAAAGAGGGGTGTCATCTCTCTTTCCCTCTTTCTCTCTCTCTCTCTCTCTCTCTCTCTATTTCTCTCTCTCTCCCTCTCTCACTCTCTCTCTCTCTCTCTCTCTCTCTTTGGATCCCTGAGAAATTTAAAAAGGGGGTTATAAAATATTACGAAGTTTTTTTTTCTCTCTCTCTCTTGGACTCCTGAGAAATTTGATAAGGGGATTATAAAATATCTTGAATATCATAGACAGGGGAGGTACATTGAGATGTGTTCCGGATTTAGGGGGTCTCCAAGGCAGGAAAAGCCCGCGAAAGGAGGGTTCAGAAATGATGGCAGTCCTGAGATGGATGGGGGGGGGGGGGGTGCTTTCAAAGGGAGGGAACAAGCATACGCGTATCCTAAATAACACCGAGTGGAGGGGGTGGCGTGGCGGGAGTTTCCCCATTCTCTACATTTTAAAAGTTATGATTGCAATACGATGATCGAATACGATCGCAACTATATTTGAAAAATCAACTCAAGGGCGATTTCAACGCCCTATTGTATGTCCCATTGAAAACATGTTCGGTTTACGTAATGTATCATCAATGGCCTAGCTACGGAGGAGGGGGGGGGGGGGGGAACGTGCCACCCTCCAATCGAATGGCACAACAAGAAGTGAGAGCGAGGGGAGAGATGAAGTAACAGGAAAAGGAACGTGAGATAATAATTATACGGAGATAGATTGCTCGAAAATGCTCTTTATAATAATGTACTATTATGTGAATCAGTAACGTGGGGACAACGTGATAATTTTGAAATTGAATTGAATTTATTTTCTTCTGCAAGATACAAATCAAATTACATTTCAGCAATACAACATATACAAAATATAACTAGTTTTTTTGATCGTGTTTACAATATATCTATATTAATACTATAATGTCATTTCAAAAAATAAACATGATAACACAATACCGTTGCAAGAATTATTTATTAAGAAAGTTAGGGCTATTATAATAAGCAATTGCTTGATAGCGCATGATAGCCCGGGTTGTGAGAGGGGTGGGGGTTGATATAAACATGTAAAAATGTAAACATGGTGATGGTGATGATGATTGATGATTGATGATGTTGATGATGGAACTAGTGATGATGTTGATTTCAATGATGGATGATGTTGATTTCAATGATGATGTTGATTTCAATGATGATGTTGATTTCAATGATGATGTTGATTTCAATGATGATGTTGATTTTAATGATGATGTTGATTTTAATGATGATGCTGAAAATGAAAATGACAATATACTTACACGAGTATACGGGAGTTATATTTACAGTGTTGGATGTTTTATAGGAATCTGGAATGTAATATGGAATATTAATTCAGCACCGTAAGAAAAGATCAACATGAAATCTGTTGTAAGAATTAGTGCGCATCGAACGATTATCGAAAGAAGCTTTGGGTTATTCAGATCTACGTCCTTGATGCAGTGTACAGCAAAAAAGAAGAACAACATAGAGATATGAGTGATAGAAAAAGTACATAATTATAGCGAAAGAGACAGAGAGTATGTATGTGTGTCCATTTCACTTTAAATGTTCCCACTCTAAAGGCGTAAGGGGTAAACCTTCCGGCCTAGTTAATCTGCTGCTCAAAATTAGACTATAAAATACAGCATTTTTTTTTTTTAGAATTTTAGTCATTTTGCAGATTTCTTTTGAAATAACGTCAACTTCATTTCTAAAATACTTAAAGGTTAAGACCAGAAGTGGTAAAATTGCGGTTCAAGGGTTTTGGGTGCAAAATATCTAATCAACAGTGTTTAAATATTGCCTTCAAAAGGTTTAGATGGCAATACTTCAACCTAAATTCGCAATAACAAAACAGCAGAAATATATGCCTAAATGTTCAATGTTGAAGTGCATTAGCGATATCTGTACAGGCCGGATGGATATGATAATTAAATGTAGGCCTATCAATTATAGGCGGTTTACCGGCAAAATTTTATGTCATCATGTAATAGTCGAAAAGTATTCTTTGACAAAGTCATGATTGGCAATACGAGCTTCCATTTCTTTTTTTTTAAGGGGGGGGGGGGGAGGGTTCCAAAACTGGTCTATACCTTTAAAATATTATTTAAAAAATAGGCTGTCGTGACTAAGAAGTGTTGACAAATACGTATATAGAACACTGATGTAAAGGCGATAATTATATACAATGTAATGTAAAAGACTAAGGCAGTCTTTTTTTTTAGAGAGGGCAATATGAGTTGGTCTAGCACCACGTTCACTCGGCCAGCTCTCTGTCTTCGCCTACAAACTGACTCAGGCGACCCCGGTTCGAAGGTGAGTCACGTCTTTCGGATGGTAAAGTTAAAGGTCGGTCCCCAGACGTAAATAACAATATCTGATTGATACACATCTGTAAAAACCCAATTACACACACACATACTCTCAAGGCCAAAGAGGAAAGGGAAATTTAGTATTTAAAAACAGACAATTTTTTTAGAAAATTAGTTCTTCAAAGACATCAAATTACCTAAAACCACCTCACATTAGGTAAATAGTTTAATACAAATGACGCTTTGCCACTAAAAATGAAATGAATAAATAAAAGCTTTTTTCGATTTTTGCATTTTTGTATAGTAATTATGTGCCGAACTATTTCAGGTGAACATCTTGCATAAGCACAATTAAGTCTATCAATATTTATATCCCTCATGTATAGTTGTTTGCATTGCGATTGTACAGAGCACGAAAAAGGTATAGATAAGTACTATCTACCTGAGATAGTACTTATTGTAAAGTAATTTTTTGCTGCTACCCCACTTGCCCACCCGTGCCCATTGAATACGCATAGCAAATTAGATTACGCGAAAATGTCAAAGTCAATGTCAATGTCAAATGAGCGCGCATCGACTGTATTACATGTATGCATGTTGCGCTTTGTAAAATCTAGCTGAAGCTAAACTGTCTGCAGAATCAGTTTTTATTATTATGTAAAATTCACTTTGAATAGACCTTATCGCCGATGTGGGATATAAAACAAATATTAACCTCCTTTACTCGGGCAATGGATACAAACTATCATCGCCTCGGTGATCTCGTGGCTACCATCTTCCCTCGCCTTGCGGCTCGGGAAGATAGTAGCCCTGAGATCACCGAGGCGATGATAGTTTGCACCATTACCCTCGTAGTCGATTAATATTTGCTTAATATATTTGGGGGACAGACTGCACAGAATAAGCTCGATTTAGCAAAGGGACAACGGATTTCTAGTACTTATTAATTGATTGATTGATTTAGTAGTTTATTGAAGATAGTGGACATGGCAGAGCAAGTGGGAGGGGGTCTCGCGGGATGCGTCACGTACAGAGTCACCAACAACCAAACATCTATCTATCTATCTATAATATATGTGTGTGTATGTAACGTTTCTAAATCATACAATGTTAAAGACTAGAAAAAGACAAATACTAGTCTTACAATAAGTTACATGATTATCTTTTATACGATTATTATGGAAGTATGAAACGCAGGGCCAATGATTCATCATGCACACCCCTGACTAAACCCGAGCATAGGGAGGAGAAGACGTGTTTCTTCGCCGTTTCACCACGCAGAACGTCACCACGATGACTGCTATGATCACGATGACCGCGATGACGACCCCGACGATGATACCGGTGTGACTGTTTCGACAAACATATGCTGGTGAGAGATTGAGATAAAAATAACAATGCATACACAATGCGTAATCATTATTCTTTTAATTATGCACCGACGGTTCATTCTATGGAACACAGGTGGAAATATTATTTTTAAGACGGTTTTATGATATTCTATATCATGTTTATTTTCTTCTAACTTCTTAATCTGTAATCAACCCATAGAAATTCGGGCTTAATTATCTGTGTGTCGGAAAAATAAAATGATTACTCCCTTACGTTGTCCCAAGTTGTCCCCTCCTTCGGTTCTCTGGACGAAAGGCTGGAGCGAAGGGTTGGTCAGGTTGAGATGAAAGGAACCAAGACTGTAGCTGAAGTGACTGCAGGTGTAATAGTCGCCAAGAGGCACATCAAAGAAGTCTGTGGTCACGGATGAGAAACGTGACGCTGGGGAAAAAAAATAGAGCAATTAACTTCTTCTTCTTGATTTGATTTTGTTTGGCAATCAGTCACAGTTGACTATTTTTGCCTCACACTATTTTATGAATTATTTATATATATATATACAATTTCATGTCATAAATGACTATTTTTAAGGATTCTTTCTCTTTCCATCCCCTTTCCTTCTGCTTATTTCCTTTTTAGACCCTATATTCTTCTTTTTTTCTATAGAGAAAATTCAATAAATTAATACATTTGGAAAAAGACGGCCTAGCAAGTTGTACGTACTTGTGTTTACGCGTTACTTTTTTTTTTTTTTTACAGTGTAGCATTGTGCCTTTGTTTTGTTTGTTTGTTTCTTTATGTTATCAAAATACATTTAATGCATATTGTATTTCTATTTTGTGTATATTTTTGGCAAGATTTAGTTGATCAAATCAAAACGAACCAATGATAATTATTGGCCCTATCAACTTACTTGTTGAGATGCTTGTGCGCGCAGATATTGTTTGGAGCTTGAACGAGCCCCCTCTAGTGGTGAAGTTCAGGACAATTCCCCACTTCCCAAACTTTAAGACAAATGCTGAATAAGAAGATGAGCTGCAGTTGGATTTCGATGTCGACGCATAAGGTGGTATCTGTTCAGTCACGTCATTAGCGAGCTGCAAGTAAATTAATGTCCATTAAGATTGTGACAAGGTTGTTATAATCATATGGTATTCTTTTTCGCAGGAAAACTTTAATTGTGGTTGAGGCTGAGAATACACTCAGCCTATTTACCAATGTAGGCCTATGCATATTTCTCTAGGGCCTACCCAAGTGATTCACCTCCTATGCATAATGGCATATCTATGGATGCCATTCATTTTGTTGCTACGTCAGACAAACCACTGGCAAGCTTTTTAAAATCATCAACAGAAGCCTTTGTTAAAAAACTATACTTTTCCTTCGGAAACATGTCAATTAATATTTATATCGAATGTTCAAAACTACCAACAATGGTATAAACTGTTTGATTGATATATATTATATAGCCTACACAGATAAATGTGTAAGAAGCAAGGAAAAAAATAAAAATCCAGCTATTTGTCCAGACACAAACAGCTATAGGGGTACGGTACGAAGGCTATAAAATGGGGTTCTTTATTGCTCCAAGTTTACTTGTCATGGTGCTCATGCTATAGCAGACAGTGTATTGAGCATGAACGACTTCTAGTGTTGGAGTTTAGTACAATTTACCATTCAGTTCTTTTAAGTAAATAAAAACACTTTCGGAAATTTACATCTGAGAGCACAAGATCCTGGTGTTCCGTTGCCATTAATTTTTTAAAGTTTTTGTTTCCCTTTTTTGCCATTTTATTCGTAGTCTTGTGCCCCGGCCGCTCCCCCAGTTACGCCACTGGTGTTTGATGTACGTCAAACACTACAACATTTTCACCAATTATCAAAGCAGTGTTGATATGATGTTTATGATATAGATAAACTTGCTAAAATTATAAGAAAAGATAAGTGATATATCAAACCTACGTCAGTTATAGTTCCATTGAAGTCCATGAGCATACACAGTTTGCCGTCCTTGTCCTTCACTTCCCATCGGGCTTTTGGGGCTGATGTTGTTCCTCTTGATTTCACTGTGAAAATTAAAGGGTCATTTCAGGACTTTTTGTTGGGATAAAGGGCATGATGATGTCCATGTAACGTCGTTATGATTTTTTCTACTGCACACATGGAAGTTGAAATCATAAGGTTAAGAATTTGTTTGCAGTAATATATACTGAAATATTAGTACGCTGCCAGAATTATTCTTGTTCCGGTCGCTTCTCTTCAAATTCTTGGGTTAATATGCATTTTTTTTAAATCAGCGTTATAACATGAATATCACATTTATATCACATGGCATACTATTTGGTTTTACAATATTGATTCATCGTGAAGCTAGAGTATACATCAAAAGATATACGTTGGGTATTCCTTTTATTCTTAACTCAATTTGAGAAAACTGTTTATAATGGTTGATAAGAAACATGGCACGCGATACACACACACGCACACATATAGTGAACCGCACGTTTGAGCAAACTTGACGATGAATCGGACGAAAATCCTATATGTCCCTAATATAAATGGAAACTTTAAAGTTAAGCTTAAAGGGCATCTATAAACAAAACCAACATAAAAAACTACAACAACAACAATTACCACATCAACAACAAACATATGTATTAAAGGGGTTCCTAGTCGCTATGATATATTCAAAATATGAATCTCAAATATTTCTTCTTCGAAGAGATAATTAAAGCAAGTTTAAACACATCTTCAGCAAATAATGGGTCTTATGTGCAGACTAGTCAAAGGACCATAACGCGCTGGCACTGAACCCGAGTCCTCGTTTTTATTTCCTTCATTGCTCCTTTGAATATCAGGTAAAGTTTAGGGGTTTGATGTAATTATACATTCTAGCTATACACAAAACATGTTTTCAGGTAATTTTTATCCCGTTACCTTACAACGACTTTAAAAAAGGGGGAAACATTTGCAATTCATACCAACAACCAGACTTTAAAGGTACCATGTCCCATTTGCAGGCCCAAAAAATGAAACGGTTAAATTTCAACGGCATTTGAAAGATAATAATAATTTTGAACTTCCCTAAAAAAGGGGGTCTTGAAAATGTCTTTAAGTGGGAAAACGACGACAATTAGTTGTCAAATCGAATCAAGTGCTCCCAAGTCAGTAAGTAATAGTCTGATTTTCAGACCACTTTACCGAATGGTCGTACGTTTTGTGCTGCACAAAGATTCAATCAGTTTAATTTTGGCCAGTCAGTCACTCAATAGTGCCTGACAGTGAAGTCTAGCAAGTAAACGGGTTTCCTTGCATAATTTGAATATAAGGACACTGCTTACGTTTAAATTCCACAGATAGGACATACATTACATTTTCATAATTCCTGCAAAGTTGTACAGAATTTGATGTTGGCTGCAAACATAGTATCTTTCAAGACTCATTGAAATCGTTGGGAATTGGGGAATTTGACACCGTTCGAGAGTTTATCCAATAACAGGTACCAATCATAAGAATAATCTTTCATTTTTTTGACCAACGGGCTTTATAACAATGCTCTGCCTTTTCCCACATATGGTAAAATCCTCATCTATTTGAATTGATCACCAGAAGACTCCCCCAAAAGACGAGGGGCACTTCTCGATTAGCTTACGGGTTTGCTGTCTGGAAAATTGTACACCCATTAATGGTATTTCCAAATTATTGCCAAATTATGATCTTCCGCACATGGAAACTAACGGCCCACTGGCTTTAATGTGAATATTGCCTACAATTACCTGACGGGGTGGTGCTTGTCGTTCCACTCGTGGTAGTCATGTTGCTGACCGTGGTTGTCATGTCGCTTGCAGTGGTTGTCATGTCGCTTGCAGTGGTAGGTTCACTGGTTGTCATGTCGCTTGCAGTGGTAGGTTCACTGGTTGTCATGTTGCTCGCAGTGGTAGGTTCAGTGGTTGTCATGTTGCTCGCAGTGGTTGTCATGTCGCTTGCAGTGGTAGGTTCACTGGTTGTCATGTCGCTTGCACTGGTAGGTTCACTGGTTGTAATGTTGCTCGCAGTGGTAGGTTCAGTGGTTGTCATGATGCTCGCAGTGGTTGTCATGTCGCTTGCAGTGGTATGTTCAGTGGTTGTCATGTTGCTCGCAGTGGTAGGTTCAGTGGTTGTCATTTTGCTCGCAGTGGTTGTCATGTTGCTCGCGGTGGTTGTCATGCTGCTTGCGGTGGTTGTGGTAGGTCCAGTGGTTGTCATGTTGCTTGTAGTGGTTGTCATGTCGCTTGCAGTGGTAGCTTCACTGGTTGTCATGTCGCTTGTAATGGTAGGTTCAGTGGTTGTCATGTTGCTCGCAGTGGTTGTCATGTTGCTCGCAGTGGTTGTCATGTCGCTGACCGTGGTCGTCATGTTGCTGAACGTGGTTGTCATGTTACTTGCAGTGGTAGGTTCAGTGGTTGTCATGTTGCTCGCAGTGGTTGTCATGTTGCTTGTAGGTCCATTATTTGTAGCTTCAGCCGTTGTTGTAGGTCCAGTGGTAGTTGTTTTCTTTGCATAACATACTTCAGAGAAGCACATCACTGCTGCCACTATCAATAACAAAAGATAAAAACAGAAATTAAAACATTGTAATAATCAAGATCTTACGAAATTACAATTTATTTAATGGCATTCTGGAAACTTTTATCTGTTGTGGGAAATATTAGGGTAATAGAAAAAACACTTTTGGAGCCAAGAGAGAGAAAGAGAATGAGGAAATGAAATGGATATATAGATTGATAGATTGATTTATAGATAGATATGTACAGGGATGGTTATAGTAGGAATTGAGATAGGTAAAAAGAGAAATATAGAGAGTAAGAGAGTCAGACAAAAAAATACTTTAGTCTTTAAGAATCTAAAGAGACGGTACGTGTATATGTAAATTGATATTATGTAAATGAAATTTAATGAAATCCCCCATGCATATGTTATGGCTTCTGTATGTTTACTTTAAGATTTTGTCTCGTGTTTTCTAGGATTATATATGTATTTAAAAAAATATATTTCTTATAATTTGAATATATAATTTCCTTAGTATTTAAAACTCCGTCCTACAATCTATTTATTTTACATTAATATTATTTTAAATATCTTTCTCATCGCACCGTGTCACATATATCGACGACCTTCTTTAGCATATTTTGTACGGAACCGTTACTTTACAAGCTTTGTTTTGATCAAGTTTCGTCATATTTCACTATCAAATAAATATATATATTCGTCTTCTTGTAAAAGCTGCTAAATAACTCGATTAAAAACTAAATTTGCAACATGTATCTAATTTCCGTGTTTGTGATTATGAATTACAAACACGTATTATAATGTAATAATTATATGTATAATGTGAAATATTGTAAACAATAAACTGAAACTGAAACTGAAACTCTTGTCAGCGTCTGCAAACTGTGACCACAATAGACTTTGTAATTAAGCTGCTAATTGCAGACAGAAACTGGTGGATCTAGGCTCTGATCAAGGCTTCTGGAATTGTGGTAAAGTGTGACCACAATAGACTCTGTAATTAAGCTGCTAATTACAGACAGAAACTGGTGGATCTAGGCTCTGATCAAGGCTTCTGGAATTGTGGTAGAGTGTCACTAGAGTCTTTGTTTGCAGAATAGCCAGGAACAGAGACAAAAGCAAGAAATGGGAAAGAGACGGACAAAGGGAAAGCAAAAGAAGAAGCTTTAATTATTATCCGCTTGTGATCTGTTTCCTTCTCACTGTCAACCATAACGCCATGGGAAAATAACATAGGTAGTGCTATTCCCTATTCCACACAAGATAATTTTCCATCCGGAAAAAAAATGTATGCACAGGTCTGGGCATCAAAATCAATATTCGGTCGTTTCCCCTAAAGTAAATTGCCCACGCCACAGATCTAAATATGAATAAATTGAAGATAGTAACAAGTAAGTAATTTTCTTTGCATCAAAAACTTCTCGGAATACTGCCTTTTGTTTTTTTGTATCTTTAAGATATATATTTCAAAGTCATTCACGACATTTTACGAATGCGATATCAATTTAAAATGTTCAGTGGTGATGTCACCAAGAAAATATGAGTTAGAATTATGACTTCAATGGAAAGACTTGTCGTAAAATGCAAAAGCGACATAGGAATACGGTTACTGCACAACAATGCTATGCAACGCGCTCACGCGTTTAAAGGCATCGTTTAAGGCACTGTTTTTTTTTAAAAACTATGACCAAATAGCTTAATGACCCTTTGACAGCCTGAAACTTTACAAAGATAGAGAATTAGAAATCAGTTACAACTTTTTCTTGTAACATGGACCTAGGTTAACCTCCCATAGCTTAACGAAAAAAATTTAGCGTTGCTTTATGTGCATGAGATATCCCTGAACAGCCAATTGTTTACGGAATTTTGTAACAAAATTGACATACCTTTTTGGTTGGAGCCGACAAAAATATATACCCACAAGCAATATGTTTTTTTTTTCGTTGATGATTAATGAGCATGGGTGGATCTTAAAGAAAGTTAACAGTAATATGAATTAACTCCTGTATTTTGATAGAACAGTACAATTGAAAATTGTGTTTCGGACGTTACATTTTCCGTAAACAATGTAGGCCCTCATTTAACCCACTAGAACAATCATTTAATGAGATTGTTTATGGTTTGAATAAGCTTATTAGTTACCCAAGTCATTAAATTAAAAGAAAATATAATTTAATTGTAGTAGCGCTTATATTATAAATCTATTCAAAATTTGAAAAAGTTGTCTCATTTTCCGTAAACAATTTTGTAACGTCCGAAACAACTTTCAATTTGAAGTAGCAGAAAATATATGAACTGCAGGACCTATCTTTCGTAACATTTTTTAAACATTTCATGGCGGCTACCCACCAAAAAAAGAAATTTGCAATACATCATTACAATACTATTTTATAGTTAAAACCAATTTTCCGTTAACAGTTGTAACGTCCGAAACAAATGTAACGTCCGAAACAAAAAATACCAAATAAATGATGATAATCCACATTTGAGGGTATCTGGAGTGAATAAATAATTATGAAATAAGTTATTATAAGTCTTAACACAAGTCAAAACACAAATCAGGTATTTCAAATCCAATAATTTTGTGTAAACTCAAGAAGGGTGTTTCGGACGTTACACTATTTGATTGTTAACACATAGTTTTTCAACTAATTTTCTATCATATGTGCAAGTTACGATTTCACAATGCACACTCCTGTTAAAAACCCTATATTGATAATTTCATTTAGATCTAAATATAAAAATATGAAGAAATATGATGCAAAAAAAAATCAAATTTTCCGTAAAATATCTAAATTTTCTGCAAAATTGACTTATAAAACATAAATATTGAAGCCACACTTTGTGGTGCAAGGCATTCCTGGCTGCTTTAGTATATCCTTAATTGTAATTTATCAGAAACAATCTCAATAAAAGTGACTCATAAACATTATTCAGCCATTTTAACAGCACTTTCTGTTATGCTGTAGCACGTTTCGGATGTTACATTAAACTGTTAACAGACATTTTCATACTTTAACTAGTTCAAATGAGGGGCAAAGATAGATGTAAGAATAACAAATTTCAATTGTTCAACCTCTCCTTTTGCTATTTACATTGCTGTGTGTTTGCAAATCATCACGTTTTCATTTTTACAGAGGTTGTTCCAAATTATGTCATTTAACCAAAGATTGTATGGTCAATCTAAACTATTTGGTAGGTTACAAAAGCTCAAAATCACCCACTTAAAAAGCAATACCCAGTGTACATGTACATGACACGGGTATGATACAGGTATATAAAGTTGATAAAATCAAGCAAATTAAAATGTTTTTCTAAAAATTTATGGGAAATATGGATTTTCATTTAAAAATACCTTTCAAAAAGGGCACTCAGTACACGTAACTAACCTGTGTAGAAAGTACATACATGTATAAAAAGAAAAGGGCATTACCAGTAATACCTTATTTGATGATCCTAAACATATACATGTAGTATCTTCCTCAAATGTATGCATACATACAAAATGTATAAACTAGTGTATGGATTTATTTTGAACTTCTGAAATTCCCCTTCATATCCATGATTCATCCCTTTCATATTAATAGGTCATCCCTCATTCATATTCACCCTTTTCATCCACCATCCTTTCATCTGTCTATCTCTCTCTCTCATTGGTTTCAATGTTCACCTGATGCAGTCAAGCTTATGTAATATAATTTACATATACTATGAATATTCAATATATACCCTTTGTTTATGTTTGAATCTTCAAGAATACTTTGTGATGTTGATTTATACTTGTATGGGACTATATGAATATTTATTGATTTATTCTACTTTGCATGGAATGTATGTGGAATGCTACATAGAATGTTGAAATGCTTTTACACATTAAAACCTGGTCAGTTACCTAGTAGTTATCAATCCTACAACATGTCTGCTGGGCTGCCTCTGTGTTAAGAGTGCTACACTCTTAAAACTGAAATGTTAAATCACCATTTAAAAGGGCCGAGGAGTGACAACTCTTTCAAAATGGTAGATTAACACTTTGAATATGCTGGATCCAACGCTATAAAGGTTGGATCCAGCATGTTAAAAGTGTTAATCTACCATTTTGAAATAGTTGTCACTCCTTGGCCCTTTTAAATGGTGATTTAACATTTTAGTTTTAAGAGTGTAGGAATTATCTGTTAGAACCGCAACCCTCCACTAGTGTGAAATATAAATGGGCTGTCTGTTGTTTTTTTTTTTCCTCTACGAAATGTCAAAGTTGGGGGTGCGGCGCTGCTGCGGCCTTATCGCCGGCAAATACGGTACATGTTTAACCTACACTGTATATTGTTTGTCACCTGTAATATAGGCACAGCAAGAGTTAAGATCTATCAACCAACCAACCGACCAACCAATCAATCCGTCCATTCATCAATCGGTCATCAATTAAATAAATAAATAAATACTTATTTAAGAGCATTAAAACATATTGTCGTTTGAAACAGCCTCCTAATACAAATAGGGGTAAAGGATGATTGTTACTACAGTAGTATTATAACCTAAAACATACACAATTTTAAAATACATCAAAAATGTCTCATTCTCGAGATGTACATACATTAGGATTCACTTAATTCTTATTACCGTACTTACATGACTGGGGGTACTTTTTTATAGTTTTATTCTTTTAAAGATTTGTCAATGTTTCAGTGCTTACATACATGTATGTGTTAGTGATATTGTTGAATGACACACTATATAGTTGAAGGCAAAAAACAATAGCAAGCTGATTAAACATCTACATTGTAGAGTTTGTAGAAATTGATGATCTCATTGAAATGTTAACATCGTGTAACATCCGAAACAAACCATAGTATACATTTCACGCTGTTGTTCATAACATGCAATAAAGAGTATGTTTCTAAGTGAATTTTCTAAGGAGTTTTGATGACTACAATTGCTATTAGCTTCATATTTCACTCTGTTAGATCACATAAGCATTTTTAACTACCGGTACACGTTCTTGAAATGAATAATATACCTTACATAAATTGAGTGGTCGATGAAGACAAACTTGGTATACATGTATGTGCTAAACTAATTAAAACTGCACAATTTTTTCCATTAATGTTACAGAAGTATTTTTCTGCAAACAATTAATGCAACTGAGGTCAATAATACCTAAAGAAAAGCAATTAACTTGAATAAAGTTATAATGTTAACAGTGTGTAACGTCCGAAACATCAGTGGTGTGCCATATGAAAATTATTAGGCAATGCACTGGTTCCCAATTTTTTGGCATGTATTTACCTTATATCATCAGTTGTTATAATAAAATAAGTTTGACCTAAGAAAAAAGCATTTTACCTATTGAAATAAAGACTTGCTATTGTCAAAACCTTAATTTAGAGCTATTTTTCACTTTCAAGGGATACAAAATCTGTATTTTTCAAGATAGAAACTCAACAATTTGGATGAATAATCTCTGAAACATATTCTTAAAGACCCAACATATTTAAAGGTGTAGTTAATAGCAATTGAGTTTTATATCACAGTTATTAGATATGTTATAGTTCACAATAAAATTGTAAAAACTCAAAGTATTCATATCTGGTGAATAAATAAGGAGATAGATTAAGGTCCAGAATTTGCATTTCTCAAAAGTATGATTAGTCCTGATCCTAAAAATACAAGTTTGAAGTGAGTAAACATAATTTCATTTTGGACCCATTTGTGGACACATTTGGTATAAGTTATAAAAAAACAGTGCCATAGGCAAACGCAAAATTTGGTTTCGATTTCCAATCATAAATATCTTGATAATAAGACAAGCGTTCGGCTTTGTAAACGCCATGGGATTTCTGACTGACCTAAAGGTTTAAAGTTGTCATTGCAGCATAAGCTAAATCCAGGATTCGTTGCATTTTCTTTAGACACCCCGTATATCAAGACCATCTGCATCTTGAAGATAAAGCCAATTAATTCTGCATTTTCACAGCGGCATCAACTTTTCTAACTCGACATTTACAAAACGACTGGTTGGCTCAGTACTATTTCATCCTCTTCACATTTGTAGACTGCTTACCAACACAGACCCAGATGTTTTGAATTAAAAGAACATTTAAAACATATATGAAAATAATCTCATTGCAAAACACTACTGTGTATAAGAAGACGGAAATAGCATTTAGAATCAAATGGTCTAAGTAAATCCTAAGTTAATTTGGTAATTTTTTAATAAAAATTCCGCAGTATGGTACATTAATGTCTTAAGATTCTTTTTTTTTATAGAGACATATCAAATGAATTAAAATATTGTGAAGAAATATAAAGGACATGTAAAGCGATCACGGGAAAACACTACTGTGTATAAGAAGACGGAAACAACATTTCGAAGCAAATGGTCTTACTAAATCCTATAGGGTAATATCGAAATTTATAATAGAAACGGAATGTTTTGTGTCTCACCTAGGATTCCTGCAGCTTGAAAAGTGGTAATTCGCGTCATAACTGATCGATGTGTAACCGCTTCGCCTTTAAACTCTCAAACTATCAATTCGGACGAAAAGTATTTTGTAAAGTATGATATCTGTGCGATAACTTCCTGCGCTCTTCTTGCCTGTGTCAAGGAGAGGTTATGACTTTGAACAAAATGGAGAGAGAGAGAGAGAGAGGAGCGCGCCGCGCTTCCTTACTATTTCAACGAATTTTGAAATCGAAGTAGGAAATGTTCGTCCTTGACACTGAATCACGTGACACAAAAGGCTAGCTCGACGTCACAAATATTTCAAGTCAGCCAAATATGTCGTATATACAAAAGTAATGAACAAATTAATGAACATAATTTTTTGCTTTTATACCTCCTTTTGTTATATGTTTGATTACGCTATGGTCATTCTTATTGCATACACAGTACTGACAATACTAGCATGACAAGGAAATGATCCGCCGCCCCCCCCCCCCAATATGTGGCAATTATATGAAAATAATTGATTATATTGCAATTTTAACGACATTAATTATTTAAATTATTCGTTATACTGATGTTCAATTAAGCCAAGATTCTTGTTATTAAGCGATAAATTAAAACATGCAGTCACGCTTAGTTATTTTGAATGTGAAATGATGGTAGAACTAGCCCACTGAATAAAGCTATATTGGCTGTTCAGTAAATATCAATTTAAAAACTGGTCATTAAATGTTTCAGTTTCGATGAATGTCTACATGTGAGTTGATGTAGACATCATTACATATTATACATTGAGTTTGAAGGTCCTTTTCGAGAACAAAACAGAGATAACATTGGCAATAGAAGCTATAGGCTCTCCTTCATCAAACACGGAAATTAATACTCTATCATGATAGTTTGTTTGTTGTGGTTTTGATTTTATATACCCGCAATTTAGTAGGCCTAAATGGGAAATGACTGCAAAGCTGATATAGGATATTATAACAGGAAACGGAGAAGTGTTTTGTTCCTGTACCGCTCATTATAAAGCTGTTTTCCTCATCGTACCAATTACAGTCTTTAGCGGCGGCGGGTCCGGGTACCCAACCACTCTTTCACCCACCCCCCCCCCCCCAATTTTATACGTTTATACCCAAAAGGAGTTTGCCGTCAACAAGTTAATTTGGGGCTCAAAGTCTGGATACAGCCTAGCTAAGCGCTAAGGAAGCATAAATCACAACAACAAAAGTTGGCCAAACTTAAAGGGAGCGTCCCCTCTTTCCCCTTTAATTTGAAATCGCTATTGATCCATAGGCACTCTACATAATTATACATGACTTGCATGGCATACAGTGCAGGGGATGAGATTTGTTTTTTAAAGAGAAAGGACGAGTTCTGGTAGAGGTGAAAAATAATGGGAGTTTTTCTTTCTTTTTGTTGTTGTTGAACTGTTCATTTGCTAATTTTGGAGAAAAAAAATCATGAAAGAAATGTCCCCCATTGATAGCTTCGTTCTTTATAAAATCCTCTAACATTTTTTTGAAATATGACAATAGATAATTGATTTGCAACGAATAGCCACTCCAGCTTTTCGTTTTGCACTCATCAGAGTAAATCGCAAGAATGAGCAGAAAGCCGAAATCGGACAATAATAAGTATACGCTAAAGAAACAAAGCGCGCGGAAAATAACGGGCTGTGATTGGTTGCTGGAATATGGACGTAGGAAGAAATAGATGATAGATGAAAAATGGTTGTCCTTTTCGTGGACGTAATGCATGTGAGTTTCAGCAATTCAATTCAATTCAATTCTCATTTATTTCATTCTCAGTTAAAGACTACATTGAATCAAAAAATCGAAACAATTCATAAACAAATTTAGAAAATGAAATGGGGAACTACATAAATAAAGCCTCAGGCCTTGTACGAGCGTAGTTCCCAAGTCATTCATAGCATACTATAAAGCAAAGATATAAAACAAAAACAAAAAACAAAATAAAAAAACTAAAAAACAACAACAACATATTAGACAAGTATTAACAAAACAGAAATAACAATACACATTTCAGATGTAAAAACTGCTACAACTTTCTTTGAAAGGATTAACTGACTTGCATTTGTATCATTCCGGCGACAGTATGTGGTAAACAATGAGTTGTCATCAGAATATCTTACAATTAAATGTGGAGTACCTCAAGGATCAATATTAGGTCCCCTTCTGTTCTTATTGTACATGAATGATATAGCCAATGCATGATCCCTATTGTCATTTATACCATTGTGATTGATAATAAAGCGTTAAAACGTAAGAATTGTACAGCATTTTTAGGTATCCTTATTGATGAACACCCTTATTGCAAGACCTAATACAGGAATACAAACCCTTGGTATGGGCTTCAAGTGCAAAGACAAAATTTAACCTTATTTATGTATTAATACAAAAGAAAGCGCTTCTCGTTTGTGCAGGCTCCCATTATTAAATCAATTTGAAACATTGACAATTTTTTTATATAAACGCACAATAGAGTTTGGTCTTCAAATACATACATGAATGACCTTGGCCCTGTTTCTCTAACTTCTTGACTGAATCAGTATTAGTATAAGCATGGACCTATTACAGATGGACATTCATCGTTTTCTTAAGGAATTCAATGTGATTGTCTCCGTCAATGTCGTCTCAATAACATTCCGGACATGTTTCTTCACTTTGATCTCATGATGGTCACCGCCAAAAAAGCCGGGACAGAATCAAGATAGTAATTTTACACATGTTAATCTACATGCGCAGAAGAAAATTACTCGCCTAAATCATGAAAAATCAATGTGCAGTTCTGGCTTATAATCGGAAATTGTTGTTCCGTGTACTGTATTTTATTTTGAAAAACATGTTGATATACTAGATAGAGGTTATATTTGGATTGGTTGTGATTTAAAATCCCGTTTCCCCCTATTTCCTCATAATATTCCAGAGTTACAACGCACAGGGCTTATACAAATCATGGCCTTCTACTTGTGTGTACAAAAGTGTGCAAATCAGTAATAATACATTTCATATCACCCGAATCGTCTGCTTTTCAACTTTGCTGCTCCCCTTGGGGATGTTTTTAAAAATTAACTTTATTTTCATTTTTGCAAAGTTGAAACGTTGATTCGACAAGGTTATCAAAATTCAATGCTTGGAAACATTCGAAGTTATGATTATTATAAATTACAAAACGCTTATACAGCCCCGGCATATATAGCAGCTGAGGAGCTCTCCGAACGCGGCTGAGATGTGTGAGATCACAGTATGGACATGATTTGCACAAGCAGACGATGTCCCATGACATCTCACACATTTTCAGTGCCTGTGTTTTTATCTTTTCTTGAGTTCTTTCTCTTACTTCACTACCCCTAGGCCAAATGTATAATGTAATGCCTCACTCTACACCCCGCGCATGTTCTTATTTTAATGACAAATGCAGCGAAACAAAAATAAAGGAATCTGTCGCTTGTAAACAAAATAAGACGCCATTGTATATTCAGCTGCACACACCGCGGTATGTTCGGCGTTTAAAGAGGGAACAAATGCCGTCCTTAATATCATTCCGGGGGGTTTTCAATTTGAAAGTCTGGTTTCTTTGATTGTTAATTAATCTCTATCCTGGGTATTTACAAGCAAAAGATTTTAGTTATCAGAATCGGGTCATATCCCCTTTTGAATGGTTTGACATGCAATTATATTTATATACACTTAACTCATTATAATTTGACAAAAAATAGCTTTGCAATTATGTTCATTCTTTATGGGATGTCGTCTGCTAAGGCAGTATTGGTCCATATAGTGACGTCATTAAAACATCGTTATTTTTCCGGCGAAGCTATCGTATATCCCAGCTGCTATGGAGGTGGTTGTATTTGTATTTTTATAAATCACCCGATATGTAGTTGACCTAAAACTTGTACGATGGCCATCTGTTAGCTTACCAGTTTCTAGTGATACATTTGTTGACATATTTGTGATTTTCTTCGAATTTTACCTTTAAAACAGCTGAATGTTCTCGTTAAGATGCACATAATCCAAGGGTGTCGATTTGTATCCGTGGTTGGGGGGGGGGGGGGGGTGATAGGTGCCAAAATATTTTCGGCAATGAATCAAAGCAACCAAGAGGTAGAAGCGTGTGGCAGGTTGTTACCCCTCCCCAAGCGCGTAGCCAGGATTTCATTTTTTTTTTTTTTTTTTTTTTTTTTTGGGGGGGGGGGGGGGGGGCGGTAGTGAGCACGCGAAGCGCGCTCCCTAGGGGGTTGGATGCAGGGAGGAAGGAGTTTCCCCCCTCCCCCGCGAAGCGCGGAAGCACTGACGTTTTATTAGATTATTAAAGAAAGAAGACGATTAGATGTACCATTCTCGACTCTCAATTCCTTGTCTAAATTCAGTTCCCCCACCTTCCCGCACGAAACGCGGAAGCTTTGACGTTTCATTAAAGGGGAAGTCCACCCTGAAATTAAGTTAGTTTTAATAGGAGTAGAAAAATGAGAGAAACAAGTCAGTGAAAGTTTGAGCAAATTCCGATTAAAAATAAGGAAGTTAGGATTTTTGAAGTTGTGATCAATCAAACACAAATTGGCAACTCTATGACGTATCATGCGAGCTCAACTTCCATTTGCTCAGTACTAACAAAATCTAAAATTTTCATTTTCCCTCAAGAAAAATTTCAACCATACATGCACCCTAAATATAATAATTGCAAATATGTTTCTATACTCCCCCTGCAAGGAACAAATATATATTCCGTCATCAATAACGAAGAAAACATGATTTTATGGAATATTATGCACAAAGCAAATAAAGGAGAGCTCGTATAATAAGTCACAGAGTTGCCAATTTGTATTTGATCGATCACAACTTCAATGATTCATAACTTTCTTATTTTCATTCAGAATTTGCTCAAACTTTCACTCACCTGATTTTCTTATTATTCTACCTCTATCGAAACAAACTTATTTTGGGGGTGGACTTTCCCTTTAAATTATTAGAGAAAAAAGACGATCCGTTGTACCGTTCTCGACTCTGAATTCTTGTTTCGCCCCTCCCGCGCGAAGCGCAGAAGCTCTGACGTTTCATTTAATCATTAGAGTAAGAAGACGATTCATTATCCCGTTCTCGACTCTTAATCCTTGTCTGAATTCAGTTGCCCCCCCCCTACGGCGCGAAGCAGGGAAGCTTTGACGTTTTAAATAATTATTACTCTTAATCCTTGTCTGAA